AGGGCTGGTCATTTAAAACAAGAGCTTCAAATCAAATGGAAAATGCTAGAACAGGTTTTGACCAGTATAATGGCCAGTCATCTGAAACTATAACACAACATCTGCCTCTATTCCAGCCTCTTATAGCTTTTTAAGAAGTCGTCAACTGGTGTAGAGACAGAAAAAGTAGACTATGTTTTATGGGGATTCTTTTGCACCTTTGATGGTGCTGGGGTTTTAAACCTATTTAAATCAGATCAGCCAAACCCAGATATTCTGTTCCACTAAAAAGTCCAATTACATATTCATAAACTTACAAGCCTGAATATTTTGAGTTCAAACTTCAAGTTCAGTCTGTCTGAGCCAGGTGAAATTTGTTGTAAAGATTTTGAAGTCTTTGGTTACGATGTTTGAAAAATGTGAGTGCAAACAATAAGTTTGGTTTACGTTATCCTTAAATACAGTCTGAGATCGAAGAATAAATATCGAACTTGGATTATGTCCCTTGAATTGTAAAATTCATGGATACATTTACTGACGAATAACCAATCTTATCCACAGAATATTACCTGTATTATCTCAGACATTTATTAACATATTGGACATCTTCGGTCAAGGCATTGCGTCTTTATTCTATACCTTGACTGCAATGGAACACTTTTTGAGAAAAATAATAACGCATGAAATCGAGGAGTGTGATAGGCTGTATTAGCTAGTGTACAATTCAATCAAATTGCTGTGAAACAAGGAAGTGGGCCATTGTAGTCAAGGTATAAGATAAAGTTGTTTTACAGGCTTGACCATAGTGATGATGAAGATGGATAGCTAACAAAAATGTGGAGCTAAACAAAAGAGGTTCAACCATAATTGAATTAATAACAGTAAAACAGTTGAATTACTTACTAATATACTACAGACTATATAGTCAAATTGCCACAATTAACATAAAAATATACTATATAATCCAACACTATTACACAATATCCAACTATATCTCACACTGTAACAAGTCCTACAGTTTTAAAACTTATACTAGCACCTAAAATACCTCCGACCTTTGTTTCAGCTTTCACTAAAACACCCCTTCACTTTTAATTGATAGTAATTTTAGCTCATATTGTTGTCCCTTCAGGCTTGAAGTGGTTCGGTTTATTCTACTGTAGGGAAGACAGGTTCTGTACTGGTACTGGTGTTTATTGGATCAGTCTAATGTTAAGTAGTAGAATTTAAGCCACAGGTTGTTAAAGATCCGGTTTCAAGTTTCCTTATGTGATTTATTTCTTTAAAATGTTTAACAAGTTTTGTTGGGATTTATGCTTTAAAGGGAATTACTTGCCTAGATAAGCTCCTTAAAGGGATTGTAAAGAGATTTCATAAATTTTATATTACTGTTAGCATCCAATTTTCTGTGGTTCCTGCAATTCCACTAAAAGTAAGTGTTTCATGACGTCACTTAACACATTATATCTTTGTATCACATAAGGCAATTATGTGCAAAAAACATAAATCCTGGCAATAGCCAACAGTAGATCAGTAAACTACTTTATTGAATTGTAGGTAAACCGGATGTAATATTTTCATTTTGATTGGAGATACAGCTAACATACATTAAGAATTATCAACTGCCAAGCACCTATTCCAGCAACTATATCATTGGAATTGCAAGAACCACAGGATGACTGAAAATTAGAATGGTGCAAACAGAAACCATATATGCCCCTGATACAAATAAAAATTTTAGAAAACCTTTTTACAATTTCTTTAATATTTAAGTGATTAATGCACAATATTCATAAAAGACAAAAAGATGAAGTAAAGTTAAAATCAATAGACTTGACAATAAATTGTCTCAACGGCTGTATAAAATTCTCGTCTATCATATTCAAGATGAAGAGAATGGAGTTGATTATGACTCAGGAAATTTTCTCCAAATCCTCTCATAAATTATCACTGTTAGTCAATAGATATCAGATTTATGAATTTCATAACTCATTGGAATTTTATTGAGCAGAAGAAACAGAAGAAATAATCTTAAATCCTTGGTTTTTAGTGATTCAGCTCATGTCAGCGACTTTTTCTGCATTTACAAGGGGCATGGGGAAACAAAGAGGGGGAAACAAAGAGAGGAAAAGAAAGAGGTGGAAAGAGGGAGGGGGAGGGAGGGGGAAGGAGAGGGAAAGACGGGGAGGAAGAAGGAGAGGGAAAGACGGGGAGGAGGTGGAAAGATGGAGGAGGGAAGAGGGGAAAGGAGGGAAGAGGGGAAAGGAGGCTCGGGAAGGGAAGAGGGGGAAAGAAGGAACAAGGAGGGGGTGGGGGGGAGGAGAAGAAACAACGAAGTATTCCTTTTTTCACTTTTGCAACAATTTGCATTCCAAACATTATTACTGTTGCATAAAACGTCTTAACTGCTTTATGATAGTGATGACATAAAAATCTTAGTTTTAGTGGAATTGCAAGACCCATAGTCGTCTGACTGAAAATTGGAATGGTGCAAATTGATGTTTTCCTGATACACATAAAAAGTTTACAAAGTCCTTAAAAATCCCTTTAAGTCAAAGAAATTTTTAAAATCCCTCACAAGAAAGATTTTCATGATACATCTCAACATTAAACTTTAGCCAGAGCAAGTAGACCAAACAATCTGAAGAATTGTAGAATCATAGAGAAATTATCAGGCAGTGCCAGAGTGAAGGAACTGGCATCAATGATGGAACACTGATTGATCATGTATTAGACTGATATTTGGCACCAATCTCAAGGATCTCCCGACAGGTTAGCGCTATGGTGACAGGCTTCAGACAGGTCATTCATTCAGTGCCAATATATTCCTTTAACATCCAAATACGAAATGTCATATTCTATTGAGTGAAATGAAATGAAATGGAGTTTTACTCTACTTTTTCTTCGTCTGATTGGGCCTAATAAAAACGAGCAAAGTCATACAATGTGCAATGAGGAAAATTTTGTCACGGCGGCAGCACTAGTCTACTCTTTTTCAATTTCTAACTGTCTAGGAATATAGAATGAACATTATATGGTACATAGGACTTTGGTTTATTGTTCCATCCATCCTAAATTATCATGATACCTCCACCCACAGAAATTACCAGTGGAAAAACGAGTTGAAAAATCCTAAAGTTTAATTTCTACCTACGCTGTCATTGAATCCCAGAACGCTTATTCTAGCAAACATTCAAATCGCTGAGTTATCTTGATGTGTTCTTAATATTTGATTAAATGGCTAGAAAACTCTCAGTTATTCAGTCCAAGTTTATGTTAAATAACAGCAAGCATGTCTCTTATATTAATAAAAACATCCATATGGCCAATAAAATAATGATGTCATGAATCTAGAGCATTACATCTGCTAATTTTAATAGTAACTAGTTCATAACAGATCTGAGTATAGTTTTTAAGATGTTCAGGGAGGATGTAACGCGATTAAAATCTCACTTTTGAACTTTCCTGACACATTATTATTATAACATTCTTCAGCTGTTGGCAGCAGGAAGATAGCAACTATCTTTAGGGCAATTAATAGGATACTGATAACTGCACTTTATTTTCATACATTTTTAAATTATACTGAAATTATTGTTTGAATTTACTTTTGAGATTTTGAGGCTGAGGGATTTGGTAGAAGGGAAGGATCAATACCAAGAGGTTTGATTAGATCCTGATTGTAGTAAGGACCCACAGAATTGTCAAGGGGAGTAAACAACACTAGGCATTTGGGTCTCCTTGATAATAATTTGAAATTGGGGGGCCAAGCAACTTCATTTCTTCCCTCACAAATCCATCCTTACAGAATCAAGGGCAATAACTCTAAAATAGTTCATTGCATTATTCTCAACTTGAGAGTTTGTCTGAGATCTTAACAATTCACATAAACTGATCAAGTTTCAACCAGGAATAGCATCTAGTCAAAGCCAAGACATTCTCAATTCCATGTTGAAGTCCTAGTAATTATTCCTGTCATTTCCGTGATTAGTCCAGGTTATTTCCTGAGTTATTTCCCTTGGTATAATGAATGTCCAGTATTAATGATCAAAGGTCAAGGTTGACGGACTTATCACTCTAACACATTATCAATATTACTGTCACAAATCACCTTCATTTACTAAATTGTTCACTTTATCAGTAGATCATTGGATTTATTTGGATTGAGGTATTGGGGTGCTGATGGGTTCAAACTCTTTAAGATGAAATCAATGGAGTTTTTTGTCCTACTAATGAAGACAGGCAACATGCAGTGTGCAATGAAGAAAATTTTGCTAGGTACGACATAAGCCTATTCTTTTTTGATTTCCAACTGTCGAGGGATCTAAATTTTGCATAGCCTGTAACATATGGTGCCAGTTTATTGACCCATCTGAGCGACTAGCCGCTTTTCCATGTAAGCCCCTTTGATCTCTTGGCAAACAGGGCATCTTTTCCCGGTGTGAAAGCTCTCACATGATTAGCGATGAAGTCCTTCTAGATTTACCATGTGTTACGTTAATTCTATATCCCAGTCACGCTCTTATTCTCATCTTATCATAATGCATGTCAAATATGATAAATTTTACATGATGATATTTTCACTATAAACAAACTGTCTCTTCAACAGCAAGTCATAAAAATATCACATAGACTTAACTAGAGTTTTATGTTCACTTGAAATATTAGTAAAATTAGCAACACAGATGTTCAGCTGGCTTTAAAAAGAAAATATCTATGAATACATAATGATGGCACAACTGAACCTACACAACACCTTGGCCAGTGCTTATATAGGGGTATACCAAATACTTCTAACCTGGGCTAATGCTTCTATAGAAGTGTATCTTCTATAACAACCAAACACTTGTCCATAAACCTGTCCATAGTCCACATCCAATCCGTAATATATTGAACTTCCTGTTTTGATCCATCCCATAGTTAAAGGTTATAATATCATGGAGACTTTGAAAAAAAAGGAATTTTACTCATGTGATGTTTGCTTAATGGAGTTTCCTTATGCTTGTCATCTTAAGGTTCATATGCGAATTCATACTGGGGAGAAACCCTTTCAATGTGATATCTGTAAAAAATGTTTGTCTCATAAATATAGTTTAGCACTTCACAAGAAATTTGTACATGATGGAGAAAAACCTTACAAATGTGATGTTTGTAATAAATGCTTTAGTTTGTCAACAGGTCTTAATAATCATTTGAAAATACATACTGGAGAAAGACCGTACGAATGTGAACTTTGCAAAAAGAGCTTTAGTCAAAAATATGGTCTGCAAATACACTCTAGAATCCATACTGGAGAGAAACCTTTCAAATGTGATGTTTGTGAAAAATGTTTCCGCCATGCAGCAGGTCTTCGAACTCACAAGAAAATTCATACTGGTGAGAAATCTTATAAATGTGATGTTTGTAGAAAGTCTTTTATCAGTAGAGCATATCTCAATATTCATATGAGAACACATACTGGAGAAAAACCTTACCAATGTGGTGTTTGTAAAAAGTGTTTTAGCCGATCAACTTTTCTTAAGGTTCATATGAAAATACATACTGGAGAGAGACCTCATGAATGTGTCATTTGTAAGAAGTCTTTTCAAATGAAGAGAAATCTTGTCGATCACATGAAAACACATACTGGAGAAAAGCCTTTCAAATGTGATATTTGTGACAAATATTTTAGCACGGACAATAACCGAAAAAGTCACTTCAGAATCCATACTGGAGAGAAACCTTACAAATGTGATGTTTGTGAAAAGAGTTTTAGACAGGTCTTTACTCTTCAACGTCACCAACAAATACACAAAAAATAGAAAGCTAACAAATGTGATATTTGTAAAAAGAGGCCAAAACGTCACTTAAGACTAAACGAAAAATAGAAAACTAAAAAAATAGGTGCTTTAATGTTTTTTCAGCACTTTATGACAGACCCATTTTGAGTTTGGTCACAGTAAAATGAATACATTGACTCAGTTTTTATTTATATTTTGTCTTTCAATGTACATAGTTAAATATTGATACAATAAAATTATTTTCTTATTAAACTTTTATACTTATTTTACTACCATGTTTCACTGTAATAGCTAAACCTTGTAATAAATATTCATATATGTCAAAACACAACTTTGCAGTTTCAATTTGCTGATTGGGAAAATTAAGAATAGCATTGCCATGCTGTGTGCAATTGAGTAAAATTTGCAAGGAAAGCAGCATCCTACTATTTCTCTATTTCCATCTCTAAAAGATGGAAGTGTTTCAATCATCTGATTGGTCGATCACTAAAATTGATTTTAAGTTTAATTTCGTTATCCATTCTCTCCAATTTCTTAAAAGCTGAGTTTTGGAGAATCATGCCCTCTGAATAAGATGTATGAAAGTATTGTATAATATCATCAACAACCATTTAGATGGTCTAGATAATATCATGAGCAGAAATAGGTCAATGACAAAGTAAATATGGTACCAATCTAACTCCAACCTACCACAGACATAACAGGGATGAGGATCCTGTTATATTTGCCAGTCACATCTATTTGTACTATTCCAATTCATTAGTGCTGGCACTATCTGACATTGAAAATACTTTGCAATAGGATAGGTCAGCATTTGTGTGCCATCTGGCATAGTTTACAATACCAGGCATATACACATATAGGATCATATATATCTCTTTAAGCAGACATTACAAGTACAGTATGATTATACCTAGCAAGTGATATCATCCTGATTATAATATTAGATAATGTCTCTAGCAGACTTTCAGGTAGAACTGGAATCTAGGTCACAGACAGAATCAGAAATCCCCCATGATTAATGGTATAATCACCTCTATTATCAGATACCTATAACTCATTTTAAATCACAGGGGCAGAATACTTGGCCAGAAAAACTGCAGTGTACAATGAGGAAAATTATGCCAGAACAGCGGCATTAGCCTTTTCTTTTTCAATTTCCAACTGTTGAGAGGCCTTTAATGTGCACAGCTTGTAGCACACAAGGTCCTCAGTGTTTTGTCCCATCCTAACGAAAAGACGCAATTTTGATGATAAGCATCAAGCAGCCATTGGAAATTAAACAAGAAATATCTCCCAAAAACTGTACAGTGTAAAAGACAACCGATAGAAATATGTTGATTTATTACATACAAGCTATACAAGATGGTTGTCAATAGAAAAATTCTGGTGTTTATTATTATAAGTCTTTGATAAATAAGTAAGAAAGTGTGCCAAGTTAACTGAGAAAGAATGAGATATTTCTCTTATCTGTAAGAAATAATCTTTACCATTTTTATGAGAAACCAGTGTGGTAAATCTTGCGGAATTATACACAATGGTTTTTCTGTAGAATCAAAGAAGAATTTGTTTTATGACATGTAAATGACGAAATTCCTGGCTAGGACTGGTTTTTGTTTGGTTAGTTGTAACTTATAACCAGGTTACATTTGTCTTGAGTTTCTGAATCCATTTGCCATCTACCCTTGATCAAAATAGGCAGCAATCAAATCACTTTATAAATGAAATGAATGGAGTCTTACATCCTACCTTTCTGTACCATGTGGTCTAATGAAGACAGGCAAGGCATGCAGGGTACAAGGAGGGAAATTTTGCCAGGACAGCGGCATAAACCTGCTCTTTAGAATCATCTTGTTAAGCTAGTATGCAATCAATCAACAATTTAAAACCTTTGCTTTTAACACTGTGCAGTTTGCTATAAGGTTTTTGGCCATGGAGAATTCCCACAATTGCATGAAGAAAAATAATGTCACAAATTCATTTCTGGCAACAACTCTTAAAGAAATACCAAAAACTGATACATAGATTGGCTAAAAACTTTCATGTATCACCATTCCAGTAGAAAAGATAAAAGGTTCAAATGGGTAGAAATAGTAATAAATCTCAGTAAAAGACAAGATAAGGCATACTCAGATCTTACCTATGTAAACAATGCTATTATAGTTTTTAAAAGATTTATTTTTCTTCTAAAAATAAAATAATGGCCAAACCTCTGTATACCGGGTACCATACTGATAAAAGTCACCAAACAGTAAAGTAAGAGAGAAAAAATGTAATGAAATTATCTTAAGAACTGCAATGTGAACAGGTTTTTTCAGGGTTAGGTATCAATGGGTGAAAGCCGACACCAGACTGACACAGAAGCACTGGCACAGGCATAAGAATTAGTTAAAGTCATCTATTTCTCTTTTTAATTATAATCTAATATACAACTAGTACCCCTACAATAACTGTAACTAGTTAACGTACAGCACCAAGTTAAGCCAAATTGTCGATGTCAACTATGCACTATGCATCCATAGAATAGAAATATTAGCACTGTTAAAACATATCGCACTTCAGTCAGATTCATAATATACTATAGGTAAACAGCCTAGTACAAAGCTATGAGAAAAAATTCCAGTACGGTTGTTTTAAAATACTGATCTAATTCTTGAGTTATAAACCAAAGGTCATTAAAAAAGTCTTATTCTAAGCTAAAAATTAAATTTAACAGTATAGTTATAAAGAGTAAAAGAGCAGTATAAAACTGACAAGACCAAATGTTATTACCAGTAGTTTAGAAGTAAAAGTTAATTATTTTCTCATTTCTACTGTGTTAAATGTCAGACTCTAACAGATATAGTGTAGCCAACTGACAGAGATTGATAAGGTTTAAAATAGTATCATTTATATTAAAAAAATATATTCTAATATGAGAACCAGCAATTATATAATTCAAAATTCAACTGCCGTTACCGGTAGTAGCTTTGAAATACATTTTGTAATTTGAAAATGGGATACTTTCAAATTCGGGATTATCTGAGAGGAAAACTACCCTATCAGAATGGAGAATGGACGTTGAAATTCTAATTCTCAATCTTAGCAAAGAAGACAAAATAATCATATCTACTAGTAGATTTACCTGGTGTCACAACTATACAACCAAATCCGTTTAAAGTCTGATAAATTTGATACCGGTACAACAAAGATAATAAATAGAAGAAAATTCACGTAGGGGATACAAACTAGTGAAGTAAAACTGATAAAAAGGAAACAATGCAGAAGTCAAACTAATTAAAGGGAAGCAACTCTTGTTTTCAAAATCACAATGAAGATGTCCTTTAGCTTATGATTCAACTGGTTTAAAAAAGTTAAATATTTTAACTATGACTAATAGTAATTCAAGTCACCAATGAGCTTTTCCACTGGCGTTGGGTTGTTGTCACGAACAGTTGATCACAGAAGTGTAAGTTCAAATCAATTTCAAATGCATCCGGCAATCACAGACAAGCTTGGAGAACAAGTAAAATGGGACATGAATGTTAGATTTACAAATGGAGTAAATATTTAGTCTTGATTTGAAAAAGGAGACTCACAAATAAAAAAAATCAAATACGCCTATGTGAAAACTCTTTTTAATAAAGATGTAAAGATCCAAATTTATCAGAATCTCCAGATAGGAGAAATGTTGATGTTTTCAAGCTCAAGCTATTATTCTATCAAAATTAGTTCTGGACAAACCATCAATCAATCAATCTACATGAGTTGAAGGCCTACAGCGAAAGTGCGGAAAGTGGGTCAACCTGCGCATAGTTATCAGGAATATACAGTTGCATTGATTGATTTCATTACAACAACAGAAAGAAATATGATAATGTACTCATAAATGAACGGTTCTAAAGAATAGAAGATAACTCACTTCTTTCAATGTATTGCTTCAATATTAGAAATCGGCAGATCTGTCAAACACCGGCAGACGATAATCATTAATCACTACATCCGGTTTTTCATGATTTACTCCGTTCCTTTCTTTAAAATGAAAACAAATATAAATTTTAAAAAAAATTGATAAATAAAAGAATGATAAGTAGAATATTTTAGACGCTATTCGAAAGAATTGAAAATCTAAGAAAAATTAATGAATGGATTTATTTATTATAATTGCAAGAGCAAAATCAAAATCCGTATTTGATTTGATAACCGATTGTCCGAAATACTCTTAGTCTTATCATAATTGCTGGCAAATTATTGGGTTTACCGAAGCCTCCATAGCCTCCAACCTCCCTAACAAGCAACAACGACGATTCGAGAAGCTCTAGCTATTTGGAGACGCTTTCCAGAGATCAACCGCGACAATGGACAGTACATTTCCAAGAAAATTTTCAATATGACATTTGACCACAGCAGGGTAGGCTCTGAATTTACTAAATAATAAATGATAAAAACTAATAAACCTTCTCTGTAAGTTGCCTTCAGATTGCCATTTTCAGTTTATTTTTAGGACGGGATGGGTGGCACACTACACGCAATAGAATACTTAATAGAATCGTGAGAACTTTCGGACTAATTTAGAATCAATCGCAACTTGACGGAGGACTCGAATCAACTAAACAACTACTACTGGTGCCGTGACGTGTATCCGTTTTGTTGGCAAAGTAGTCCCTTATCATCTTCTTTATTTTAATTCTATTTTTCATCCATTCATTTTATTTGTTATATTTTCATTTCACTTTTGTATTTTGGTACCTAAATAAGCTATATTTCAATTTATTTTATGTGATTTCGCAGATGCAGGTGTGCGCGTATGGATATTGATGCACCGACGTGGCCATTTCCATCTTGGAAGTAAACTCGTAGTTCTGAAAATTTGTACATGTGTTGACAAAAAAGACGAAAATAACTACTTTTTCCACATTGTAACCGAAGACAGCAATCATGGTAAGTAAAAGTAAGGTGCAGTGATTCCTTTTTCTGTCTAATCATGCCTTAAAACGCTCCGATCTTCCGATTTTTCATGAAAATCTTTGATCATTTTGTGTTGTTGACAGATGAGATTGACTAAAGATTATTCTCAATTTAGCCTATGTCATCAATAATCATCAAATATTGCTCAATGTCTAGGCTTATTTTTTTTCTATAATTATTAAGCTTTTGCTTTACTTATAAATCAACCTTTTATGGCACAATTAGCTAATCACTGTCACTGGTTTTGATAATTATCAAATCCTAATTCTCGAGACTGGAGGTGGTTTCAATGTCTCAATAGGCCTTCTGAAATCTCTGAGACTGAGAGATGGCAATTCCCTACTTCCCTATTTAAAAGGGAAGCTTGCATAACATTTCTTTCAGCATCACATTAAATTTGAATACTACTGGCTTAGACTGATATAGAAGTTTTAACTGTAATGGCAAATGTGACCTGTCTTTCAATGGTCAAGGCAAGAAATAAATTGATTTACTAGGCTTATAATGGAAGACATTAGAACATAGATTCAATTATAAAAGAATATTAGCGTTAGGATCTGTTCATGAGGCTCACAGCGTGTTCCATTTTTTCAAGTTTTTAAGAGAAAAAAAGAAATAATAATATACTCTTTATTTAATATGGGTCAGAATTAGGCCTAATACACCTAAGTGACATGGTCTTGTGTGAATTCCAACCCATGGAGTTTTCAAATGACAATGTTAATGTATATTCCAGGTGCTTTTAGCAGCCGCAGTATGTAACAAGGCTGGAAAAGCTATTATATCCAGACAGTTTGTTGAGATGACCAGATCCAGAATTGAGGGTCTCCTGGCAGCATTTCCTAAATTGATGAACTCTGGAAAACAACATACATTCGTAGAAACTGAAAGTGTTCGTTATGTCTATCAACCAATGGAGAAACTATACATGTTATTAATCACTACCAAAGCCAGTAATATTCTTGAAGATTTAGAAACTCTAAGATTATTCGCTAGAGTGGTAGGTTTTACAGTTTTACTCCAAACATTACATTCCTACAGTAAAACTTAATAGCATTGTGTACAGATAAAGAACCACAACTGTGGTTCCTGCAATTCAACTAAATATTTTATATGTATCAGGGCACTGATAGCATCAATTTCCATCATTGTAATTTTCAATCAGACGTTTGTGGTTCCTGCAATTCCATTATAACGAAATGCTTGATGAAGATTTGAACAACATTTAGAAGTGAGGAGTAAACATCATAAACACAAACACAAAATATTTTTAAGAAGCGTACTTATTCCATGATATTGTCTTGTGTTTGTGATTTGACTGATTGTTGATTTTATATATTTCAGATTCCGGAATATTGTAGAAATATGGAGGAAACAGATATCATAGATCAGTCATTTCAATTAATATTCGCATTTGATGAAATTGTTGCCCTTGGTTACAGAGAAAATGTTAACCTTGCACAAATCCGAACTTTCACAGAGATGGACTCTCATGAAGAAAAAGTATTTCAAGCTGTCAGACAGGTAAAAAAGATTTGATTTCAAAACAAGTTCAACAACTTAATAATGGGACATAGCGCCAAAATATGTATGTTTCTTTGAGGACTATGCAGACTTGATCAAGATCTTTTGTTTATTTTCCATATTCCTAATTCTTAATTTTGTAGACACAAGAGAAAGAAGCGAAAGATCAAATGCGAAGAAGAGCTAAAGAGATACAACAGAAACAGCGTGAAATGGCTAAAGGTGGTCGTGGTAGCTCTATGAATAGTTTTGGTAGTAGTTCTTACAGTAGAAATGATACCAGTTCAGTTATAGATTCTTCTATTATAGAACCAACTAGTAAACCATCTTATACTGCTCCTAGGTTAGTACGAGTTTATTTCACCCTATGTTTTATCAATACAGTAGCCCAGTGCTAGAAAAATCTCAGTTTTTCGTGGTCAAGTTTTGTTTGAGTGTATGAAACAATGAAACTGAGACCATGTTTATTTCGCTGTATGTTCTATCAATGTAGCTAGCAGTAGACTTAAGTCTCAATTTTGGACAGTATTTGATTGAGCAGTGAGAAATGGAATAAGAATTTTGAGCATTTTTGACAAATTTTCACTTCATTTTTTATGCTTAAAAGCGGACAAAATGGTTGGATATATTGCAATGATGTTTAGATATATTGCAGAACAATCATTGGTTCTGTAGCTAATTTCTGTAAACTATCAGGTCTTTTAAAGCTCTGAAACTATTTTGATTGTCATATACTACACAAAATACTCTTTATAAAAAAGACTGTGTGTATAAGCTTGTTATACTAATAACAAGCCCTTTGTAATAGTGTAACATCTGATTAATGTTGTATTTTTTAATGTTTTCAGTAAACCATCAGGTCCTTCTAAAGCTCTCAAATTAAGCACCAAAAAGAAAGATGTTGATAGTTTTGTTGGTATGTTAGAATCAGAAGGAGAAAGTAGGTCAAATTAGATTATTACTATTATTTGTCAGTTTAGATTTACAGGGATTGTAAACAGGTCTTAAACTTTGTATGTTATATGAAATTCAGGACCTGTAAATTGGATTTGTCTCCCGTTGCTCTATTTATTGATGTATTGTATAATTGTTGTTTACAGGAGTAGTAAGTGTAAATAAAACAGTAAATAATGCAGTCACTAAAGCCAGTACACCAGCAATTGATCAAGAAGGGTAAGTTTACTATTTCTTAATTTTATCTCATTAAATACCATGACCCACAGTCTCGCAGTCACTACTAGAAGGTCCATAGGTTGCATGTGCTTTGGTTCTCCAGACAGTCATTGCTTGCACAATTCAGATACTTCTACTTCTACCAGTGAGTGACCACTTTCATCAGGTTGACTCTACAGATATAGTTGCCATGACAATTTAGAAGGACAAGGGACACATCTTATGAATATTTCTGTTAAATGTATATTTCTCAATGTTAGATTACACAAGATTTTTTGTGAAATGGAGCTCAGCTTGTGGACAGAATCCTCAGAACTGAAGATGTAATCAATGTTAGATAAAGGATGTTTATTTCTATTCAGTGTACATATAACAGTAGAAGAAAAGATCAGTGTAACAGCAGGACGAGATGGCGGCTTACAAAATCTAGAAGTTCACGGTATCGTACAACTCAAAATTAACGATGATAAATTTGGCCGAATTAAATTAGCTGTCCAAAATAACGATGGTAGAAATGTACAGATTCAAACACATCCCAACGTGGACAAACGCCTCTTCACCTCCTCATCAATTGTGGGGTTAAAAAATCCAGACAAACCTTTCCCATTAAATCAAGATATTGGAGTATTAAAATGGAGGTTTCAATCACAGGAGGAATCTGCTATGCCTTTATCCAGTAAGTTTGGCTTTTTTGATATTTTTTTTTTATTGTCGGAGCTGCTGTGGGTCAGTGAGTTGAACGCTTGCTCGCTTACATGAAGGTCAAGGGTTAAATCCCAAAGGACGAGATAGTACCTTCGGATTTTTCAATCTGTATTCCACTGTCTTTGATTTTGTTCAAAGGGGCTGTCATAGAAAAAGAGTAGTTAGGATAGGGCCAATAAATCGAGGCCGTGTGTGAAAGTTGCAAATTGGAATATTGATAGGAAAATTTTTACATAATGTTCTTTTTCAATTCACTTTGCATTTCTGAAACATTTTCTTTCCTTTATTTTAATTGTGATTGTTTATTTATAGTAAATTGTTGGCCGTCAGAAAATGGAGATAAATGTGATGTGAATATAGAATATGAATTAGAACAAGATGAAATAGAATTAGAAGATGTTTTAATATCCATACCTTGTCCGTAAGTATAGTATAAGTCCCACACCCCTTCATTTCTGTCACCAGATGGACAACCTAGACTCACAACCGTCCACTCTCATACTATTACAGCCCTGTATGTTTTTCACTTTTATTGGCAGTAAGTGAGCTGGATTGTCGTCTGCTAGGAGTTTATGGGCTATTGTTTCAAATCCTTTGCCATGTGTCTGCTTTCAACCCCTATAGCCTATTCTAATAAACCAATTACCTTCCCATTTCACCTGACACCAAGTATAAAACTTTGATGATTCAGTGCTGTGGGTTCAAATCCTCATCAAGATCAGAAAAATTTGGATGCCATTCCCAGCTCTTTTGGTCGCCTTTCACCTATCATTCTTTCTGTTTCCTCTGATGCTAATTAATAAAATAAATCCAATAACTTTCAGAACTGGAGTTGGAGCACCTGTTGTTGGTGATTGTGACGGGGATTATTCCTATGATTCACGTAAAGCCACGTTACAATGGAGTCTACCAGTTATAGACAGTAGTAATAAATCAGGCAGTCTAGAATTCACCATCGCTGGGCATCCAGATGATTTTTTCCCTGTTAAGTCTCCTTTGTTTCTAAAAAGTCTTATTGTGATATTCAAGTAAGTGTCTTCTGTTTTGTTCAAGTTGAAGTTGAACGAGGCCCTGTGTGCAATGTCCCCTGACAGTTAAAAATGGTAAAAGCAAATGATATGATTTCTTTCTTTGTACACTGCATGGAGTTGCCCTTCTTCATAAGCCCATTCATTTCATTTTCGTTTTTTTTGTCTATTTGTAGTTAAAAGATGTAGTTACAGTTGATGGTCAAGAACCAGTAAAATATTCTAAAGAAGTCCTACTGTATGTTGATAAATACGAAATCGTGTAATAGAAAATTATAGTATAAAAATAAATACTTTTTACATGAAATGATCCATTTGTGAATAATTCATTTATGAATTTACGGATATCAATATTTGTGCAAATGCGGACGAATAATAGAGGAATTTTCTGTGGACGGAATGGATTGGACCAAGTTATAATTTATTGGAATATTGCCTAAAATTTCTTGAGAAGTTCCCTGCGACTGGAGTATCTCTATATCTGAATATGATGTTGTTCTTTTAAAGAATATTATTATTACTCTTAAACATATTCTAGATTCGAATAACTGTTTTCTGATTGGATATTGCAATAAGATAGCCAATCAGAAAGCTCTTTAGAAATTCTTATTCTGGTAGAAAATGATTTAATATCTCAACACACAAAAATTATGTAGACCCAGATTCTAAATAATAAGGTAATTATTGAGGAGAGATCAATGCCAAGAGGTTTATCCTAGGATCAGCTGGTAGAAAGGATCCTCATGAACCTAAGTTATTATCCTTGTGAACGGTTGTTTCTTTTTTTGCTATATTAGAGAAAGTCCTACTAAGTTGACTTGCTCAGTCGTAAAGTGGCAACAGATGTTTTTTGAAGAACTGATTAAAAAAAAAAAAAGGATATAACGGCGGCACTAGAAAAAGAAAATTTGTTAAAGATGTAAAATTAATTTATTTTAGCTGTTAATTAGTGCTGGGGTAACTCTAAATACCACATTTCACCCTGTTTAGTCAGAATTGATAAGATTGCAGTGAGTTCATGATCGCTATTGAATAAATGTTAACTTTTTTACCACTCTGTTACATATTTGCAAAATATGAAATATCAAAATTTGCATATTAATGCTTTCATTTTGACTCTCGAAATCTCCTTTGATTAATGGCTTAAAACATTAAGCATATTCAAATAATGTCAAATAGTGTCACGAAACAACAGAAAAAAGAATAGGAAGTTTTTGAAGTGTTTTAAGATATTAAAAGGGAAAAACGTAAAAAATTTTGATGTTGAGTCAATTCGATTGAACATATCTTCGTTATGGTTTTTAGAAAGGAGTCATTTTCTGAAGAAATTGAAAATGTACAAAATTTGCTCGAAGCATTGTGAACTCACTACTATCATGTACATATGTAAGAATTGTGTACATTCTATCCAGTATGTACTATGAAACATTATTTAAAATATATCGTATGTTTTCGTTAATTGTACATAGTCTAATATTTTTCAAATTTCCAAAATCTTGTGTGGGGATACAACATGTTATATATTCTTAGTTTAATCACTGTGTATGAAAAATACATGTAAATAAATAAGATGATATCATTTGCCTTTTCTTTGTGCCATTGCCCCGTCACACCGGACTGCGAGCATTTAGGTGCTATGGGTTCAAACCCTCCTAAAGTTCAAAGTATAACAAGTTCAGATGCAATCTTACCGCAACCAAAAATGTACTTTGTCGGCAGAATATGGCCCATAGAATTACAAATTCACATTTACAAAGTAGTACTCAAACATTTGCGACCATATTGAATTCCAAGGCACTTTCCTAATAAAATCTATAGGCTTGTTGCATTTGACTTTCATTGCGTTCATGGAGATTTTACGATACTTGTCAAAAGACATTCTCGATTGCGCGACGGTTCCTACAAGCCGATAAGACGTTTATGGCTATATTAACAAACTCTGAGCTAATTTTCTTGTTGCAGATCAGTAAGGATGCCTTTCAGGTGTAACGAGGCTATAAGTATCCGTCTTTATCAGCCCCATCAGATGCAGAAGGATGTAAAACTCCACTGTCCTTGAAAATTCACTTGTAAATCTCTCTATAAGAAGGTAATTTCCTATCAAATTAATGTATTCCAATGCTGAAATCCCAAGTCCTTACTTGTGACCAACGCCAGTGCTTCTATAAGAGAATATCTCTTATAAAACCTTATACTGACCTGGAAAAAGCATCTAGTTTGTGCTTGACAGTGCATGTTAAAGATCCTTCGACAGTTGGAGACTGAACGAGTAGGCAAATTCCAATGGCCTGTCAAAATTTCCCTCTTTGTACACAGCTTGGCATAGTACGTCTTCATTAGCCCATACAAGTGTCGAAAGTAAGAAGTAAGCATCCATTACATTTCATTGAAAATTCAGTCATAGAAAACATCAGAAGTTAATTTATTTTTTATTATTCAAATTTGTACATTTTTTTAATTCAGGGAATACAATAAAAACCTTGGACAGATAAAATCTTTTTGAAATTATGGACAGAAACATTGATTTTAAGATGTTAATTAAAGTCTTTGGGCATGGAAAAAAAAGACGGATCACTTTAGGTTCTTAAGAATGCCAATGAGTTTTAATTAACAATTGCAAAAACAAGAGTCAAAAGTAGCGGTTATCATTTTGAGAAACTGTGCCTACTTGCATGTATGTTAGTCTCAACATCCAGACTTCTGTTGTCTTTGATGCAGTACTGTGCTGACAAACTGGGACTGGATTATAGAGGCTACATCTACGTCAAAACATAAATTAAGGAAGAAAAGATAAGAACATATATATATTACTATAAGAGTTAAAGTTAGGTTTTTTTTTATTTACAATTCTATCACAGAGTTCTTCTTGTTTCTATTGTCTACTCCATTATTGCTCTTATTCTTCAATGCTTGACCTGTGCATCAGGGCCCTGGCGCTTAAAAATCTTATAGACCCCGGCCCCCAGGCTCAAATTCTTTATCATAACAATCAATCTTTAACATTGGACCATTGTAGGATTGATTTAAAATAAGGGATAGTTAAAGGGAACAGTTTTCATTGATTAATTTGTAACACAATTCTTATTTTATAGCTTGTTTAAGCATGTTGGACTGTCGTCTGCTTGCTCTGAAGTGTTGAGTTTGACTCCCACACGTGGATAAAGACAAATTTTGATGCCCCTTCCCAACCCCATTTAGTAAAAGTTGATCATGTAGTACGCACAAAACAGGACAACGGAAAAGCCCGGGTTTAATGCAACACACTTCCAAGATAGCGGAAAATTCAAATCAGTAAAAATCATCTGTCCCAGATCAATTGTCAAGCATTGAAGAATGTCTCTTCTTTCCATATTCAAATATGAATATTATTAAATAATTTATCTACAGTTTATTTTGAGACAAAACCCACACCTGAGTTATCTTTGTCTTTTTTGAAAATAGATTCCACACTTTTCCTTTTAATCAAATTCTCCTGCAAAATATTTCTACTGATTTGCCAGTTTAGTCGAGTAATGGTATTTCATACATGGCGCTCGACTGGTTGGTTCTGAACAGGTTCTGTCTGTTCCAATTCTGCCCTCAATCGAAAGGTACAGAAGCAAAATATGTCACATTTAAAATTTTCCCATCTACTCCTTTCTCCGCCATTTTGAATTCTGTCAACACCTGCTATTTTTTTGGCACACAGGGAACTCTGTTCCAACTTAGTTTATTGAACGTCTGGTTGATTGCATAAATTCCGAACATGTCGAACTCACCAATCAAGCATCCCATGTTTACAGTTCAAATTATAAATACAGGCAGTCCATTTTATTTTGAGGTAGTGTAAGTAGTTATGAACACAATATAAATATAGTTTATATAGTGCTGATTACGACTTAATCTACCTAAAACAAAATAGACTAGTCATGTTTAAGTTTTGAATTAGACCCGAATGTGCATCATTATCTGTGCTGTACAATAACTTTCAAATATGTCTAACTAACAAACAGTTCAATCATAACAAAATCTAACTTTCTATCAAAAATATACATCTCATTCAACTTTAAACTCTATAATTCTTATTGTAAAGAGGTTTTCTACACTTTTTATGTGTATTGGAGAATAGCATCAATTTGCACCATTCCAATTTTCAGTTAGACGTCTGTGGTTCCTGCAATTCCACTAAAACTAAGCACTTTATGACGTCACTATTGCAAAAGCCTGCAAATATTATTAACAGCTTTTGTGATAGACTAGTGTCATGATAAAGCACTTAGCAGGAACCACAGACGTCTGACTGAAAATTGGAATAGTGCAAATTGATGCTATATGTGTCCATGGAACACATAATATTTTTAGAAAACCTCTTCACAATCCCTTTCAATACATTCTGTGACCTCCATCTTCTTTTATTTGATATGACTTGGCAAAACAGAGACACCATTTTGTCACAGTCATCTTAGGATAATATTTATTTGCATTGTTCATTGCTACTAATACAACATAATATTTATAAAAACAACAAAATATTGATTAATTAATCACTAAATTCTACATGGGGCCTTAAAATTAAAACCACTTAAATAAAAATATGTTAATTACTTGAGAAATAACATTTACCGAATGGGCGCTTGATTGGTCAGTTCTGAACAGATTCCGTCTGTTCCATTTTTTGTCTCAATAAAACAGTGCGGCACTGGCTATGTCACATTCAGGATTTAACAGTACCCTTTTGTTCTTTTCTTGGCCATTTTGAATTCTGTCTACACCTACTATTTTTTTTGCAAACGTGGATCACACACTGAACTCTGTTCCACCTTGTTTTATTGAACGTCCAGTCGATTCCATGAATCCCGAACATGCCGAACGAACCAATCGAGCGCACATCAGATATACGATCACTGTCAACGTAAATGCTTAAAATCAAATACATTTTTTTTTAAATTCACACTTCAACGAATTAATTTGTCAAAACCAGAATTAAAATTGAAAACACCTAAAAAATATGTATAAAATTGCTGTAGAGTTAAAAAATCTCTCGTCTAAAATATAAATTTGGCTGCAAAATCATTTTAAAAGCCTAGCACTAAATATTTTTGATTAGAAACACTTAAATTAAATTGAATAGAAATCACCTTCAGTAACTGTGCAAAATACTTGAAAAGCCTTAAAAGACCCACGTTCAAAACATTTAGCAAAAATTGACAAAGCGCCACAAATCTTTTTTTTATTTCATTGCACAGTATTTCGTGTGTTTGTATCAAACTTGTCAGGAAAAGACAAATTATGAACCATTTTTGGTTACAAAAATTTATATTAGTTTATATTTACAATTATTTACAAATTATATTTACAATATCAATATAATATTTACAATGTACATATAAGGATATAGGAGTAGGGCAAGAAAAATTACATCAATAATTGAGTGTAGACCAAAACGGAAAAATGGAAAAAAATTCTTTGGGCTTAATAATGCATTATACTGGCTTAAACTTTTGACCCTTTGAAATTGGGATGAAGGGAGTTGTGTCACCCCCTAAAATTCCCTCAATAGGGTGAAGCAGAAGCTGAATTCATTGAATGCCCACTAGAACAGTGACCAGCACTGTATGATTGTCGGTAGTAAAAAGTCATCATTATCAATTATGCTTTATCATCGACGTAGCATTCTTGATAAAGCAAGTTCAACTCTATCAGAAATGACCTTGATAAATAATAGACGCCATCTTGTTTCTTACTCTTTTGCATGAAATCTTTTAGCAACCTCAAAGGTCAAGGTTAAAACTTGTTGTCAACCTCAAAAGGACAAATTTGTCAAACAGTATCAAATGATCATGAACTCATCAACAAAATACTGAAACGGTTCATCTATCATTCTGAAGATTAGAACACAACACCAAAACATGTCAGCCATCTTGGTTTGTTCATGTTTCATTGCATCCTGGTTTCCATTTTGTCAACTGATGTGTTTTGAAACTATTTTCCCAAATCTTTTGATGAAGTTTTGTCTTGGTTGCTTCATCGCTTCCTGTCGTCCATTTTGTCACGTGATGTGCGTTGAAATTAGTTTGAAAATTTTTTGATAAAGTATTATCGTTGAGCTTTTACTTTCCATCTTAAAACCAAATAACATCCAATTCTTAATATCACAAAAAATATACACAGAATGATAAAGTCCAGCCAGAACTCGGCATGTTCCACGTCCAATTCTTTCAGCACATCTGCTGCTTTTTGGAAAATACAGATTTTTTCATCACAGTCTAATGCACCTCTATCAAAGCCGTAGATGGCTTGAAGAGCTCCTTCGAAAGAATACCTAAAAATATTAGGAAACAGTCTGTTAATTTCTGATCAAAACTGATAAAAATAAAGAGAAATGACGTGAAGGCATGAACAGACTATAGAACTATACTTGCTCTAATTCTCAAAATAACCAAACTGGTTTGTTTGAATTCAAATCGTCAAGACTTAAAAATTGTGTAAAGTTCATTATCTGCTATGGCTAATAAGTTGTTTGGATTTCTGGCTTCGTTTTGCGGTTCGAATCAATAATACTTGGTTTTTTTTATCCTACCTTATATAAGAGATATAGGACAACCATTGTAGATAAACTGGTATTGTATCAAAATTAACAAAAAATCCACTGAATAAGAGAATTGGAATGGCTGTGACTGGTCCCAAAAATACTGCCACCTAAAATAACAATTTAAATACATGTAACTTTCAACATGTTACAGGATATAATCTAAAAACTAGAAAATATTCAAAAATAATTCATAAGAAAACAGATCGGTCTGATCAGATAGTTTAAAAACTAAAATATTTATAAATGACTCAAAACATTTTGACTTGTTAAAGAATGAACCATAACGTCACAGAAATGTTTCCTGGTCTTCTTGGGCAGTTCATCCAAATTAACTAGCAGAAGACAATCTTATAAGAAAGCAGATCAGTCCATTAGCTTACCTGTAAGGAAGTAGCTGCCCCTATCAACAGACCCAACGATTGGGCTACCAGTGACGTCTGTACTGTTAACGTCAAAAACATGAAAAATCTGACGAAATCATTAGGTTGTGAGGTCATCCAGTAAACTATGCTACCATAAACTATCGGAAATATTATCTACAAATATCAAAATATAATCTACAAATATCAAAATATTATCTACAAATATCAAAATATTATCTACAAATATCAAAATATTATCTACAAATATCTAGTACACTTTATCTCGGTTTATTGTGCCATCCAAACCCTCAGAAGTTTTTTGCCATGGCAGTCCAACTGACCTCGGTATTTAATTGAGGTTTTAAACTGAAATCATAATGTTTCAAACAACAAGACTATTTACCTGGAAGGGCATATCTGCCATAGTTTTAGCTAAATAATAAGCTTTTAAACTATACCAGTAATTTAGATGTTCTCTTACAAATACTGTCATTTCTATTGGAACTGAAATAATAAATACAGGTTAAAATTATTACTTTGATAACTTCTGATATATTATGTAATATTGGGACTAATAATATAAATGATAACTTACAAGTAAGGACAGTAGGCATGAGAGCTGTAAACATCAGAAACAACATACAGAAAAACAAACACCCAGCATTGTTGAACACCTTACTGGCTTCATTACCAATTCCCAAATATAATAAACCAATCAAAATACCCACAGATAGATGAGATATCAACCTTAATCTTGTTAGGGTCTGAAATGATAAAACAGTGGAATAAATATACCAAATACTAATGATCCAAACCCTAAAAATCACAAAAACTCAAAAAGTATATCAACAATAACTATTTTAATATTCATAATGAGAAGTGGTATCAGGTTTCCAGAAAAGTAATATTTGATCATAATGAACGTTTTTATCATTGTTTATAATGCGCAACCAAGTTTTCCAAGCCCATTTAAACATGCGCACTATATTTGCAAATATATGGTACATATTCTTATAAACAAATAAATACAAAATTAGTTGAAACTGACCGTATCTCTCATGATAGACATGAAAGTCCTGACAAATAGAATCCTGAACTGAGTAAAACAACTGGTCTGAAACGTGTGACACTCTTGATCTATAGGAATATCCTGAAATTAAAGAAAGGTCAAAGGTTATCATGAATATTAATTAGGTACGTCATAAATATTTAGTAGCTTGCACTTGGATGTAAAGCTACCAACAGACAAGGTAGGGTTTTCAGTGCAGTAAGTGGCTTATGTAGAGCACTTGGACACAACATGAATTTTCAGAGACCTCATCTTGGAGAGACACCTCTCATTTTTGCCCCTACCCCACCTCCTAATAAGTTTATTATCCAATCAGATTAATGTATTTCTTCGAATCAGGATTGTATACTAGTTAAGTTTTCAAGAACATGGCCCCAGTTTTACAACATAACTCAAACAAACATATGGAAACAAATATCATAAGAAATCTACAAGGAAATAAAAATAGACTTCCAAATCTAATGCAAATAAATAACCCTATAAACAAGCATTCTAAACATCATGATACACGAAAATTCAGCACAAGATTCCCAAGAGCTATAACACACGCATCTTATCTGCTGATAATCCAGAACCCCGATATCCGTGTGCTTTTTACTCGGAACAGAATATTTATTATACTATCGAGAATGGAAATGCCCAAATGAACGAGGCTCTGTTGTTTATAGCTATTTTTGTAGACCATATCTTTCAGTCAATAGGAGTAATTGCTTTATTTTCTTTAGATTTGTATGTGGGGGCCACTGTGGAACATTGAGTTAGAGGTTTGTTCGTTAACCTGAAGGTCCAGGGTTCAATCAATTGGTCAAGATATACCTTGAAATCTTGCCCAGCAAGCCTTCTCCCAAATAACTAAATTAAAGCCAACTATTGTAAATTGGTGCTTTGTCACATAAAAATGTCTAATAATATAAGATTTTTTAGTAAGACCATTACCTCTCTACTCTAAGTCAACCTTAGTAGTTTTGAAACAGAAGCGTTTTGAAAAAAAGATTAGTTTCTCTAAACTACGACACCTAGACTAGTTTAATAAATTCTTCCATATGTGACCCATATGCACCAATCATGCTTTCCAAAATCTAAGAGCAGATGCCATGCTTTTATGTTCGAAATAAGTACATCGCATTTGATAATATACTTTTAACCATACAGAAACGAAAAACAGACAAAAAATAAAATCTAAAATGCACCATCGTTAGCTAAAAATATTAAAAACTAAGATATTAATCATGCAATACCCAAAAATTCACAAAAATCACAAAAACAAACCTCTGAAGACTCAGTTTGCTGCAAAAAATTATAAAAATACATTTCAAAAATTCTCTAATATATTTTTTTCAAATGGGAATGAAAAAGTCATCAATTTTTGACTTATTTTTGACCAAAAATAGAATTTAACATGCAGTAGTGTTGAGGTCTTTAATTAGACTACTTACTTACTACAATAACATAGTAATATTCCAATCCTCTCAAACTAATACAAAATATCTACAAATGACAAATTTGAGAAAGAAATCTAGTCAAAAATACTTAAAATTTTGAAAATATTTACCTCTGATTTTGGCACCATGGGAAAACAATAGAAACCATTTGTCTTTCCATTACATTTTCCTGGAAGGTCACCATTGGATACGCCATTACAGCCATTCATAGCTTCAAATTCCATCAGACTTCGTTTTTCTTCGAATATTTTATGTAACGAAGTAAAGTTGGGATCTTCAGGCAAAGGAGGTATTAGTGGTGCATCAGTTGGTGTCGAGCAACTGGATGAAGCCACAGATGAGGCAGAAGACCGTTTCCGTTTGAATTCTTCTTGAAATGGATCGCAGCGTCCTGATTTGACAGCATTGATCAGATGTTGAACTTTATCGGCGCCGTATTCTCCTACAGCTACTTCCATAGCTGGAACATAAATTTTTCAGAATATGATCTTTGAATGACATTTAGAAAAGAAAGGTATATTAGATAAAAAAGCTACAGGATTTGCCCAATTGGCTAAAATTCATAATTGAATTATTTTTTTCTTAGAGTTGGAATATCTGCTCAGTGCTTGCTAACCTGAAAGTCAAGGGTTCAATCCCATCATAGGTCAAGATAATACCTTCAGATTTTCCAACCCTGTTTGCCCATGTCAGTGATGCAGGTAAGAGGGGCTGACATGGAAAAAGCGTCTAGTCATTCGTATGGGACAATAAACTGAGGCCCAGTGTGCTGCAGGCGGTTGGAAATTGAAAAAAAGAGTAGGCTAATGCCGCTGTCTGAGCAAAATTTCTCTCATTGTACCCTACATAGCGTTGCCCATCTTCATTAGCTCACATGGTGCTGAAAAGTAGGACTAAAACTCCATTTCTTTCATGTATTTTACAGAGAATAATTTCCAACAACAAATGTGCGAAGACAATTATATTTAAAAATATGACGTACCATAATCTGCAGGGTTGTGATAGTTTGGACATTTAAATCCTTGAGCTTCGTAATACGGTAACAATGCTGCTATACTTCCACGATATATACATTGTCCTTCTGCTAACAAATACAACTATAAAATATAATAATATAACAATAATAACTTCTGTTAACAAATACAACTATAAAATATAATAATATAACAATAATAACTTCTGTTAACAAATACAACTATAAAATATAATAATATAACAATAATAACTTCTGCTAACAAATACAACTATAAAATATAATAATATAACAATAATAACTTCTGTTAACATATACAACTATAAAATATAATAATATAACAATAATAACTTCTGTTAACATATACAACTATAAAATATAATAATATAACAATAATAACTTCTGTTAACATATACAACTATAAAATATAATAATATAACAATAATAACTTCTGTTAACATATACAACTATAAAATATAATAATATAACAATAATAACTTCTGTTAACATATACAACTATAAAATATAATAATATAACAATAATAACTTCAGAGTCAAGATTAGACCCATAATGCAATGGTTGTGTTTAATGTATAAAGGCCTTGAGATATTTATTGCAGCTTTTGTGATAGTGACGTCATTAAAAGCTTTGTTATAGTCAAATTGCAAGAATCACGTCTGATTGAAAATTGGAATAGTGCAAATCAGTGCTATCAATGTCTCTGATACACATTGAAAGTTCAGAAAACCTCTTTACAATCCCTTTAAGGTGCCAATCTACATAGCGATTAAGAGTTGCGTAAGGTTGCAAATAATGAAAGTGGTGAAACACAATTCACAATTCAGTTACACGAGAGTTGTGTTCAAAACTTAATATCGCTATTCCTATTGGCAAACATAGGTGATCACTATAGTGTGAGGGTACATTAAATGTTATAATTGCTTAGTAAGCTGAACTAACAAATGAAAGAATGAAATGGAAATAAACAGAAACACAGAACTTACATGATCGAACATCTCAAATAATTTAGCACTAGGTTGATGTATGGTACAGATTATAGTTCTGCCTCCAGCAGCAAGAGATTTTAATAATGATACACATTGAAAACACGATGCACTGTCTAGACCACTGAAAATAAACAACAAAACATGCTTACTCTTCTGAAACAACTGAAAGCACTCTGTGAATGGGTTTTTCAACTAAAAATCATTTTCAGAGAGTCCGCATACCTAATATTGTTTATTTGACAGATTTGTCAACTCAGGATCTCTTTCAGAGAGTCCACATAGCTTATATTGTTTATTTGGTAAATATCATTTAGAAATATTTCTATTTTTTATTTAAATTTGAAACCATATATAGAATATATGAAATTAAATGGTGTTTTATATTGTAATTTTCTGTTTAATATTCGGCTAATGACGACAGACAACGCCATGCCTTGTACAATGAGGGAAATGTCACATGTCATGTTATGTATCATTAACTAATTGATATATAAGGATAGGGAAATATTCCCTGTCAAGAGATAAGATAAACATTTCTAAAATTAAATTTTATCGCGCGTCGTCCCTGAACTATATTAATGATGATTTAATAATGACTATAGATAATGTTATATTTCAACTTTCTAAAATAACTGAGATATTACGCATCAGGTTTAGTGTAATTTAGGAAAATTGTTGTCTAAATAAAATAGCTAAAAATTAGCCTAAATAGTTCTGAAATAGTTTCAGACAAATCAAACAAGAGATTTTCATTTTGAAAAGAGATACTGACAGCTAAAATCTGAAATCATTTTTTTTCAAATTTTGTCACTAATATTTGAAATCTGAAGTTTGTGTTGTCAAGTGATCTACGCAGTGCCGTCACCATGTTTAAACTCAAATCAATTTTTATCTTAACTTCAAGTTAACTCTTACTTTTATCCCATAATTTCCCCTTCTGATAACAAACAGCAATGTCCTTTAATCAGTGAGTTTATCAAATATAAAACCTCAAACGTTGGGATTTAACAGATAAAACACTATTCTCTTCTCACTATCTCTATGAAGTATATGAAGACTTCTAGATAATGATTAATTTGATAACTTAATATCTAACAAAAATGTCTGTCATTGTCTGTAATACGCACCCCTGTGGGTAAAAAGCTGCACACTATGTACTCAATCAGACAGTATTATGATAATTCTCAAATAGAAGTCTGAGTATCAGAGGCGTTTTTAGGTAACATTAGGTGAGGGGGCCGGACAGGGGCCACAAAATTGTCCACAGGCAATTCTTTCACTTTGTAAAATTATAAAAAAATTTGAAAGTGGGAGGGCTAAAGGTGGGCCAATCCTTTTTCTGGGGTGGGGGAACACCACTGCTATGTATTCCAATCTATAAGAATATATCTAACTATAAGATGATATACAGCAGACACAAATCTTTTAAATCAAAAACGCCTCAAAAGTAGTGTATATACATGTATATGAAATATGGAGGCTATATGGCTAATTGTTATGTGATATATCATACTATATTTTGACCGTTATTCAGGAAACATCAACATATACAGGAAACTCAAGTTACAAACCTGGTAGGTTCATCAAAGAACATAATAGGAGGATTGTTGACCAGCTCTAAGGCAATAGAGAGACGTTTTCGTTGACCACCTGATAAATTGCTTGTTCTGGTTTTCTTGGTCTCAATCAAACCCAGAGTATCTAGTATCTCATCTACCTGAAATAGGAGAAAAAAGATATCAAATATATGAAGTTTTTATATCCTACTGTTCTGCACGTGCCTAGCTAAGGAAGACGGGCAATGCCATGCAGTGTGTAATGAGGGGAATGCCTAAATAGCTCTACCCAGCGTATGTTGACAGAAAAGCAGTCAAATTCAGTTGATTGCCAAGTTTCCAAATATATAACATGGATGCTCATAGCCACAGAGAACTGTACTTGATACAATGGCAGTTTTTTGTGGTCAGAATGTAAAGAATTCAGTAAGATTTGTGGTGTAATTATAAACAAGTGTAAGGTGAAGACAAGACACATTACACCTATCTTAATATTTATAAAACTAAACTAAACTATTGTTGATTCTTATACTTAATGATAAGAGTTCTTCTCACTTATATGACAAGTGTTTGAGATACACAACCCTCATCAGGACAATTAGTGTGAGAAATATGACTTAAGGCCTAAGGCTTATGATAAATGTAAGCAAAGTCGCTGAAATGGAGCCAGAAGTCAATGGAGAGAATATCCTACACTGTATTTGGATTGAAATTTCATTTATTATCTCTAACAAGTACTTTCTTTTTCTATATTTTTATTGGTAGGGTGGTGGGGGGTGGGAGGGGGAAGTGATTTCATATCTGATTTGTTACATTATCTGCATATATAACAAAATTCAGACTGAATGTGTCGCTGACGTCATTTTCCACGTCAACACTGATATCTCAACACCAGTTCAGGCCGACATAATAATATATAAAAAAACTGCGTACTTATTACAACAATGTCAACTTTGTGACAGAGTTCATGACCTGGACAATAAATAATTTATAATTCACACTTATGACATCATATAGTTATCATATCACATTTTGTCCTGAATATTTTGATATACTCAGTTACACATCAGTTTGTATATGACATCCCTCAATATCCTATTGGACTTCACCACACATGTATACTCTACATCAATATTAAACAGTATATATGTATGGTCGGAAGGGGTCATTTGTAAAATTGGGGGTGTTTTTGTTGATGAATTATATCCTGATTTGGTTACATAATGAATATACAATTACTGGACAATTTGAAACCCTGAATTTCTTAACAGATTACTAAACTGTGATACAATTACAGGCCAGGGCCATAAATTATCTAGTGGCAGAGGATGTGGCTGACCCCTCAAAAGAATTACAATGAATTTGTCAAATTAAGGATTTTAAAACGTGTAATTCTCAGCTTCACGGATTGTCTTCAACATCAGACAAAACCAAAACAACTTATTGTATATTACGAAAAATAAAAGTAATTCGCTTTAAAATTGATCAACTTTTGCCCAATCTGCTCCAATAGCAGGACATCTGTGACAATGTCTATCAAAATTAGTTATTTATTGATACAATTCTTGACGTCAAATTCAGTAAAAACCAGTTATCAATAAATTCCTTCAGTTAAATCAATAATCAACTTATTTTGAGTCATTGTCCCAGTCTGCGTTTCTAATTAAATTTCGTTCAAATTTAACTCAAAGAAAAGTTGAAATTGAACCTGGTTGAAATTGAACTTGATTTGAAATTTAACTTGACTGAAATTTAACTTGACTGAAATTTAACTTGACTGAAATTTAACTTGACTGAAATTTAACTTGATTTGAAACTTAACTTGACTGAAATTTAACTTGATTTGAAACTTAACTTGACTGTTAACTTGATTTGAAACTTAACTTGACTGAAATTTAACTTGACTGAAATTTAACTTATTGAAATTTAAGTTAAAGATTTTACTGAATTTTACTCAGACACAGCTTTTTCCTCCTTTCCACATAAAATATGGCAACTTTCACTTTTGTGTAAAAACATAAAGACAGATTTGGCTTCAATTCAAGGTCTTTGAACGAATTATTGGAGGTAATCCAAGACTCTTAATGAATGAATGTTCCATTACCAAACATAGGTTATTGGCCATTATATTTTCATAAACCTTTTAAGCAGACGGGGGAATTGGTGTTGACAAGGAAATTTCATAGTCTTGTTGTAAGATGAAGAGTTCTTATTCAATTACAATACTAGATAGATAGAGAGTAATCAATAAAAATGATTACCAAGGAGAAAACTATCATGGCATATTCTAGGTCATTTTCTATTCCACTTCTCCCTCTTCTTCATGCTTCATTAAAATGACTATCCCCCACCCTCTGCCTCCAAAACTAACATGTATATATTCCAGGTCATCCCAGTCCCCCTCCTCTCATACTTCATCAACTTCACTCCCCACCCTCTGCCTCCAAAACTGATATAATCATATCGGAAGTCACCCTTCACCTTACCCCCCATTATGCATCAGGAAAAGACTCTTCCCATACAGACCCCTCCACCCTACCTCCTTCTCGTAATTCCTCTGTACTCTCTACCCTCAGGCCTTAGACTGAAAGACTATTCTTGTTAAGACACCTAGGCCAACTACCTACTTCCCTCCCATACCCCCACCCCCCATATCATCATCACCCATGCTACTTTCCTCTACCCTATTTCATTTCATTAGTCAGAATTCATATTGGTACTTCATAAAAGAGATCTCATGTTATTAGCGTTTATCTCTAATGAAAATAAATATCGTTCAAACAAACATGTCTAGGGTCAGACTCAGGGGAGAGAATAATACGATAATAACAAATCAATATTTCATCCATTCTTTATCTTTATTTTTAGAGAGCGTTTTCTTTGTCAGTATCAGATGGTCTCAGTCAAAACAGAAAGAAAATGGTTGAAGCCAAAACTGTTAAAATACACAAGAGAATGGAGATGCCCAAATCCAATTTATAAAACTTTCAATTTACAACTGTTAAGGGACACTATTTCCTCTCACAATTTCTTTCAAGTTAAGCCTGAGTAGTTCCATTTAAATTAAATAATAAATTTGCATTTATTTTAAAAAGATTTTGCCAAGCCTAGTGTTCATTGTTATCCAGTATATTTCTCTGTGACCTATATTTTATGTGTTCTTGTGCATCATTGTAGAGGTTTTTCCAAACTTTGTGTATCAGGGAAACTGATAGCATCAATTTGTACCATTCCAATATCTGTGATTCCTGCAATTCCATTTTATGACATAGCTATAGCAAAGGCCCTTAGATATCTTAGCTTGCTGATTCTATAGTAACTCATGTATGATTTAGAATTTCAATAATTACAAGAATTACAGCCATCATGGAAAATTGTAATGGTGCATGCTTTCAGTTTATCCAATACACATAGATATATGGAAACCATTTCACAATCCTCTCACTTTTAAAGATTATAAATATTTTTGAACTTACCATGCCTTCTTTCTCTTTCTGAGTCAATCCTTCGTCTAGTTTCAGATTTGCCGAACACATCATGGACTCCTCGACTGAAAGATGAGGTAGTAGATGATCGTCTTGCATGATGTAACACGACATTTTACGGAACGTTCGCAGATCTCTTTGTCTGTGACGCACCAACACGTCTCCATGTACATTCTTAGTTCTGAAATAATAAATGAATAAATGAATGAATACCGTTGGGTTGTGAATGAATGAATGAATGAATGAATGAATGAATGAATGAATGAATGAATGAATGAATCAATCAATCAATCAATCAATCAATCAATCAATAAATAAATAAATAAAAGCAATTAGATTGTGAATAAATCAATAAAAAACATAAAAAAATAATGAATAACAGCTATTGTAAATGAATGAATGGATGAATGAATAAAGTTGTACACCTTAATATTTTCAGGATAGGACTGATATAACTTCATAGAGTTCACATAGCATATATTGTTCATTTTGAATATTAATTTCATGGAACAAAACCCGATTGATTTGTGTACACTGGGAAAGGGTTATCTTGAAGCTCTCTATATTTTTACGTGAATAATATAACAGATATTTTCAATGAAAATTCATCAATTAATAAACAGAATGAATTAATTGTTATTTTACTTCCAATGTTTCTGCTCCAGATTGAGTTAAAATGAAATGAATGGAGTTTTATATCCTACTTTTCTTCACACTTCTAATGAAGACAGGCAGATTACGTTAAAGTAGACATATAATAGAAACTAAAGTTGAAGCGTGACATTTTAACGGCAAGTCAACATTCTTATATCACTGGAATTACTATTCTATATCAGAAGCCATCATAAATTTACATCAAGGGAATTGATGCTCTTTCAGTCTTCAACTCTGATATTTGCCAGGAATAACCAAGGTTACATTGGCACCATCAATATAGATATTACTGACATATATATATTAACACATGTTATCTAACTGAAAGGATTGTTCAGAGTATTTAATATTAGTAGCTATTGTAGATTGTGAAATCATCAAAAACTGAGTTTAAGTAGAATTGCCAGAATGACAAGCGCTTGACTGAAAATTGAAAACAATGAGATGACCAATGACCGAAACGTCTGCCTCTATTGGCTATTTTGACAGTTGTTGGCTGGAGTAGAGACAGAAAAACTAGGCCCTGTTTTGTGGGGATTTTCCAGTCATATTGAAATTTTTGTAATCATAAAATGACTAACCTGTATCCTGTTAAAATGTTCATTAAAGATGATTTTCCAGCACCGGAAGGTCCCATGATGGCCGTCAACTCTCCTGGCTTAAAATGGCCTGAAATATTCTTCAATATGGTCTTTGTTTCTGAAAGAAAATCATGGTAACTTGAAAAAGCTGTCCTGATGAAGATTTTGTATCCAAAACTTCGGTTAAAATCATGAAATGAGCTCTTTTCAATTCATTCAAGTCAAAATAATTTGAGATTTAATTAAGTAAGGGGTAAAATTTGCTTGTGGATTGATTCTGAATTTAGGAAATAGTTTTGACTGAGGATATCTGGCAGTACTGCGATCAACAGTTGACCTGACCTCCTATTCAAATATAAGGTATTACTTTTTACAAGTCAAATGTGCAATAACATTATACTGATTGCTGACGTTAAAACTGACAGCAAAGTTTTAAAGGTTATATAATTGAGTTATCAGTTAAATTCTACAATGGACTTTCTCTACCTTAAAAAACGTAGGTTTGTGATCTAATTTAAAATATGACTCAAAACTACTTAGTGAGTACAATCACACTTGTTATAAATGTGTATGTAGAACTAAGTGAAAAGGGGGCATTCCAGCATCCTGACACCCTCTTGCAGATTTAAAAGGGCATTAGTCAAGGTGAGAAGTCAGGGCCTCCCTATCTGCCCCCCTTCCCTCCTCTCTCACCCCTTTACACAATCCCTAACTCTCAAGCAGGTCATGTTCCAATCTGTCCTTACAAAATATTTTGCTCCCTTACCCTGGGAAATCATTTTATAGTTTACAACTCATGTAGTCATAGTCATTAGTGTCATTTTATAAACTAAGTCCAATGTATCACATTATTTATACTAGTCTGATGTAAAAATAGATGACAAACAAAGAAAATATAATATAATATAATAGTATGGTATAGACATGTACTAGTTATTTAATAATGTATATATCATATACATGTTATACTGACTGACTCATATAGAATAAAATATCATTATTAATATATTACCAATTGAAATGAAATGGAGTTTTACATCTCAAATTTCAGAGTCTATAAGAACAAAGACACAAATTTAGGGGTTCCCCCTGCCTTTCCAAAACCATTCCTCAGGCCTGTAAAAGGTCAACTTTGAAGTGAAAATTAAGCTCTCTTAATGCTCAATACTCATCTTGGCCACCTGACGTCCATTGGCTTCTAGGGAGCCTCTGGCAGCCTCAGACCCCTGGTCTTGAGGGGATTCAGCACTTGTCTTTGACAGACACGTCTCATTTTGCCCCCCACCCCTCAGGCATTTCCACCTGTATAAGAAATAAGTAGAATTAAAGGATTTCTTTCAAAGTGATAATACAGTCTGTGTTTAATCCCAGGAGATGAAAATCTCTATATTTAGACCATAACTGATCTTAACTTATTTTATTTTCTTGCAGGATTTACTGAAAACTGTCATATAATATGAAATATTTCCTCATTACTCCAGACATTTTGGGGCTCCAATTAGATATGCCTGGCTTGGGCCTGGAAATCTTAGCCTCTTAACCTTTGATCAATTTTATTATAAAAAGTAATGACATTTTATTTAGATCATTTGTTTTTCACACCTAGTTTTTAGAGAACATAAAGTCATGACCTTTAAAAGGTCAAAGATATCAATATTGATCCCTAGTGATTGATTTTCATCCATTGTTCATTTCTTTATTTCACATAGTTTTTATAGCCCACAGGTTTTATTTTTATTTAGGAAAACAAAATGTTCAACATGGTTAGGTTTATTTGATATAACCCTGAGGTTTATGAATTGGACAATAGACAGTTTACGATTGTGTTTGTCCAATTTGGTAGAGTAAGTTATGGCAGACATGACTGGCAAATTCATCAGGATAAAAACCCTGATCTAACAAACAAATGGAAAAATTTCAAAGTATAATGATGGTTTTTCTCCAATTAAGTAAGACTTTAGTTCAACATGTTTTGGTACAAGCTAGTAAGGAATGGACAATTACTAAGGGAAACATTTTGAATTGCTGCCAGACATGACTGGCAAATACAGAAGGATAAAAACCCTGGGGCCTTATTCTCCAAAACTAACTAAAATTAAATCCAGATTTTATGAAATACAGTAATCTGATTGGATAACAAAACTTAATTTAAAATTGATTTTAGTGATTGACCAATCAGATGACTGGAACATTGAAATCATTAAGAATAAGGTTCATGGTGTGAAAAATAAATTGAGAAAATAAAAAATTTTAAGGATGGTTTTCTGTAATTAGGTCGAGTCTGACTAACGTTCATCAGATCATTCAGCAGAATATAAAATATGCATGCTATGTTAACTAACATTCAATTGATGTCGGACATAACCGGCAAATACAACCAAAATAACAACCCTGCATAAGAAACAAACAAACAGTTTGTCTAATGAGGTCAAGTCAGACTTTGAGTTCAATATGTTTAGCTACAGGCAAGAATAATGACTGGTTGGCCTGTCTTCTACCCTCATAACTAACGAGTGTTAACATCGACCTTTGATCTCAGCTACTTAAACAGTTTAAGTACATCTTTTCTTATTTTGTCAGTTTGGAAACTTTCCATGTCCAATATCATTGAAAAGTGATAATTTGTAAATTGGCTACTGATGTGTTAAAGATAACGGATGAATTTTATTTTTTTCACACAGATAAAAATTGTAGAAATGTAAATGAAATGAAATGAATAGAGATTTACGTCTTACTTTTCTGTGCTAATTAAGACAGGCAACACCATGCAGTGTGCAGTGAGAGAAATTTTGCAAGGACAGCGGCATTTGCCTGCTCTTTAACATTTTCCAACTGTCAAGGGATCTTCAACGTGCACAGCGTGTAGCACACAGGGCCTCAGTTTATTGCCTCATCCGAACGACAGGACGCCGTTTTTTTACACTTGCTGTCAATGATCTGAATAAATTCTTCTTAATCTTGTGTTCAGATGATTGTTGACTTGATTTTACTAGTGATAGTACTAGATCCCTCGACAGTTGTAAATCGAAAAAGAGTCGGCTAATGGAGGCGTCCTGGCAAATGTCCCTCATGGTACACTGCATGGCGTTGCCAGACTTCGTTTCTAATTAGGTGCAGAAATGTATGGCGTTTAACTCTATTCATTTCATTGTATTTGATTATCAAATAAAAAAGTTCCTTACCTTTATTTGAGTCTTTCACAATATACGATAAATCCTTGAATTTTATATCCACTGGTTTCCGGTAAGGAAGATGGGTGAAGGATACCCTCGTCTCCTTACTGAGAGTACTGTGGACACTGACATCATTATTAACTACACTTATCTGATCCCCTGAGTTACTGAATGTTACTTTTTTTTCCAGACACAGAGATTTGTCAAGAGCAGACGGGATGTGAACATGAACTGAAAGTAATTCAGCCATCTTGAATTTATGTTGTGTTATTTGAAATTATCCACTAACAATAAACATCTTCATTAAAATTCTTCTTTAAAACTAATCAAATCTGAAAAGAGAAAATAATAAATTGTCAAAATTTGATCCAAAAATTACCAGATGCACTGGTTGTGGTGTAGAAATTTTGTTTACCCTGAGGAGGATTCAAACCCATGGCACCTTATTGCATAGCAGACGACAATCCAACTCACTGCAGACTGAACTACCATAGATTTTGGTGGTAGGGGTTAGGTAAACGAAATCATTCTACCCCTGGGGTTTGCCAACTTGACATCTCTTTGAGAGAGTTCACATTCTTCAACCTTGGCACTTTCAATGATTTCAACCTTGCTGTATCAAATTTATTCAAGTCAAATTCATACATTGTCAAGCAAATGTTAACCTATGACCTTTAAAAGTAAAAAATTTTTAGGTCAGTTTAGAGACGAGGACCAAAAAACAAAAGCGAGTCCATTTTTATGTTTTATGTATTTAGTCATAAAAACTTTAATGGCGGTTTTTGACACTAGTTGATTTCCTTGAGGTAACAAAGTACAATAATATTCTATAAATAGAAAAAGTTATTTGGTTCAATTTGTTAGAAAGTTGAAATTTCTATGATGGTGGACATCATTTTTAACTGTTTTTTCTCCTGAATGGCCTCTAGGTCTGGAATAAAATGGAACTGAGTTTTGTGTCCTGTTTGTTTCAGCTCCTGATAGGCTTATCATGGCCGACATAATGCCATGCGTGAAATAATGAGGAATATTTTGTCAGAATATCGATATTTCCTTCCTCCTTTTACATTTCGTGTCAAGAGATCTTTAAAATCACAGTCTGTAGCACAATCTACTGTACACTGGCACTTGGTTTATTGTTCCATCCGATTGAAAATAAATTTGTCCTTATCAGCCCCTAGCTCTAACCAGTAGCACTAACAAAGGGAAATTTAATTTCTATCATGTATCCTACGTGTTTAAGCGTGTATTGTGTTTCTTTTCCTCGCTATTTATTTCATTGTATTCAAATAACACCTTACAACATACCCAGTATTGGAAAAAACACTATCAAAATGTTTCAAGAGCCATTTCAAATTTTAATATTCATGTAGGCAAACACGAGGAAATGAGTTTTATTTCTAAGAATTAATTTAACCCTATTTCAAAATATTTCCTATGAGTAAGTAATGTTTTTATGATTCTTACAGATTATTATAGCTGATATTAGCGAAGATAATACTTGTACATCCAAGGAAACCAAACGACAAAAATCGTTCGAATTGCAGAGTTGTACTAAGATCAAAATGGTTGCCATAGGACGAGGCTTTCTTGATCTATAAGTCAGTCAAATCAATGGAATACCATGAAGATAACACAGCGTGTAACAACATGTTTCAGGTTCTGTATTAGAAGTATGAAGATAGCACTGCATGAAATTCTGAGTAACAACATGTTTCAAGTTGTGTTTTAATCTTCTAGTACTACAGCAAAATTAATTGAACTACGCAGTTTGAAATTTTGTAAGAAGATCACCGTGAAGCTAATTTCTAACCTTCAACAATAGAAACCAATAATAATCCACAGCCTCTACCACTAATCCTAATCTCACTCCACTGGAGAGTTCCTTTAATCTTGGGCTTACTATTCGTTAATCCTGCTCTTTGTGGGGGGGTCCTAATTCCTACTAATCTTCAGGAAGTTTCTTGGAACCACTATTTCGCTATAATACCAATTTTAAAAAAGAATCCAGCATGTCCTGAATGGGTTCTTTTGTGAAACCAAATCACTAGATAAATTAACGAACACTGAAATCTATTCCAATTTGTCCTGTCACACTTAAGCAACTTACGATCAACGCTAACTCAGATGTTTTTTTTGCAGCTTTTATGTCCTGGGCCTTTGCTTTCTGTGATATTGTTTCAGCAAATTTGTAACAGAATCACTTATTTACATACCACAGATGTTTAAAAAAAACTAATCTTGTGCTTTTGTTACAAAGTTAACACTATCTCTTCCAAAGTCAATGCTTCAAATCCTGTGCCTGTGTTTTCGTAACAATTTTGGTTTCAAGTTAAAATCTTCTACCTTTTTGATATCCTAATCCCAAGTAGCCTATTTCATTATCCGTCTTAACCCCATTCAATCCGACAGTACAGCTGTGAACAATAGACTCATCACAGGAAACAATGAGAGACACACATGATCAGCTCTATAGGGTCAATATTCCTTAATGACCCACAACCTCTCACCTTTAACCTTTATGAAAATTGACAGACTTTGAGCCTGCTGATTCAGTCTACTGTTCTATTTTTCTTATCACAATATTAGATAATAATAAATTTCTAACTGATAAGCAATAATACTGATCACAGCATGGGAAAGGTGTGGCCTATGGTTAGGGGGAGAGGGGTAAGAACTCTAGCGTTGCTGGGGGGTAAGTTAAGGAACAAGTGATATTTCTTGTTGGGGGTGAAAAGGAGCTAATGAATTGTCAAGGGAGGGTCACAGCACCAGGTGATTCCAATGTAAAATGAGAAAAGTGAGAAGGATAGGGCAAAAGAAGGCTGGACCAAAATCAATCGATTAACCAAATGACCTAGTTTAGACCCCAACGTCACATGAGCCAGTCAATATTCAGACATGACTGGCTAAAATAACCAAACTAACATCCCTCATTATCTAAAAATCAATTCAAACCAAAGGAGGACCGATAATTGATTAACCAAGTGACCTAGTTCAGATCCTGGCGTCATACGAACCAGTCATCTTCTATAATTATCAGTCAGTAAATTAGATCAATTATAACTTATTATATATAAATCTCTATTCGATATCATTGTAATATATATTCATTTAGATATTTTGAGGGAGAATACCTATATAGACAGGCCAATGTCCCTATCCCAGATTGCACACTTGTGGGGTTGACTAAATTTAGGGCCAAATGTAGGAAATAAAACTCTATCTTATTTATTTATACCTTTGAAATCTATCCTTCAACTTTCACTATCTAAGCCCTATGTAAACTACATAAAAACTTATAACACTCGTTTCATAAAATAAGATCCAAATTATCAAGGCTACTATCTCCATGTCCCTAAATTAGGGGCCCTATTTTACTGGAAAATTCATTTCACAAATATTTTTGGAGGTTTTCTCTAAAGCGCCACTTGATTCCCATAAAAAGCTTTGTCAGTGACGTCAGCTTGGTAGAAAGATAAGAGAAGTCTACGTCAACCTGGCATTATTTTAAGATAGCTGATTATATAATGGCATTATCCTTACTGACCCTAGTCATAATGTAGGACAATCTCTTAGATAAGATTAAAATAGAATGGAATTTTTACAGAAATGATAAGATTAATAAGAAGATAACTTGATGTCTTGGTGCCACAGCTTAAGAGTAGCCCTCTTATTGTTCTTTAGCTGAGTCAGCACAGTGGACTGGTTGTACCCTTCTGATGCCAGATATCCCAAGTGTGAAAAATAGTCAATAGGGGAAAGTTGGAGGTAAAAACAATTTCCCCTATCTATACCCCCCTACTGGTGCCGGCACCGCAACTGTTGTCAACATAGGGGGTAAAGGCTGACTTGTGAAAATCACACCCCCACTTCATCAATATTGATTGTCAATTAACTTTAATCATTAATTAGCCAAATATTTAATTAAGGTTTTAATTAATAGTTGGACATTATAGTGGACATTAGTAGTAATATAGTGATACACTTCAATAAACAGGACAGTCAAATTCAAATAGGCTGGGATTTTCACTGGTGGCTAGTCAATTGAAATTAATAAACAGGACAGTTACTTAACTAGTGGCTTAACTACAATAGGGACCGGTTAAACCAGGAAGTCCACGGCCCCGACACTCATGAAACAAAAAAAGAGGATAGCATATATATATATATAATTCTAATTGAGTCATCCAGATTTTCTAGTCACTGCCCAAAAGCTAATTCTAGGGGGCTAGATGCATCCCAACATCCCAGTGTCTGAATTGGATGGGTGACCACACTACAAAACTACTATTTTAACTGGAAACTAAATTTTAAGCCCCTAACACAAATTCGATCCATCTAAGCCCCCAGCCTTTTCCTTCAGTTTGTTGAGGGTTCAATCCCCTGTCATTTCAGTCCAGCACTGGGTTCATCGTCTACAAGATGTTCTAGGTGAAGATTACACCATGCCGGTAGTAATAACTTGGAACGGTTGCTGGTGGTTGTGGCAATTGGCCAGTTTTAATATGTATACAAGCCTAGTATAATGATAATCAAATATCAAAACATGTTTAGAACAACAATATTAAAATTGTTTTTGGTATATCATTAGGCCTATACAGTTCATCTTACCTTGAAAGATGCTAAAATACCACAATCAGCTGTTACTTATCACATAAATAGGCCAATACACTCTTCATAACATACTTTTTATATACCTAATTTCTAACCAATGGTGCAAGGTGCCCTTTATTTCATTGGTTAATATTTGATATACCCCATGCTGGATATTGATTGTAAGTTATAAACATTATCTTATGTTATATAACTTACTAAATACACATTATCCTTAATTAAATACAACTAATGACAATCTTCAATATAAACGTAAACTTGAGGTTATAAAGAGTCGAACAAAGCTAGGGCTAAAAATAGACCTAACATCACTAGTTGTTGGCTGAAGAAAAGGCTGACTGTTCTTCTTTCTTTACAATGACAGTCGAAAATAACCTCTTATTTTGCTCAAAGACGATGATGAAAACGTCACCACATGCAAACGTAAGAAAAATGTTCAAAAATTTTACCTCGAAGAGCGAGAATTGTTATTGAAGAGGTTTTCGAATAAATTACCCCACGTCATAGCTAGAACTTCATTAGCCCTATTTTCACAGAATCAAAACAAAGCCAAGAGGCATTCACCAGATACGATTCCATGGATGACCTTGACTCTATCCTTCGGAATTTGACATTCCTAAATGCCAAGAACCGTCATCAGTGAGGGAAGAAAAGAACAAAACGAAGTGTTAGATAAAAATAGAGATTTATCCATTACCTTTATGTCCAAAGTTATATCAGCTTCAATATGTTCGAGCACGTGACATTTTATCTAAATATTGAGCAGGCTATTTTTCATTGGATGTGAAACATGTCGTCATAACGCGCCGTTTTCAATTCCTTTATTATAACCTTTTGATGCATTTTATACATTATTATTTCTTAATATAATGGCACAATTCTTAAAATGTGCCATCTGCTGGGTAGAAAAATGACGGCGCGTGTTGCCTTTAAGGTGAATTCAAGGTCATTGCTCAAATTTGGCGGGAAGTTGACTTCTGCTGGAATTTGCTATTTATTCTTTATAATATTCAATCAAAGGACTTTTATCTTTTTGTTAAGCCTTTCAATGAGTAATATCGAATAAAATGCATGTTTTGGAGAATTTATTGGAGGTAGGCTAAACAGGACTGTGTGTTTAGGTAGGAACTTTAGGTTGTAACATTGCGGTTAAGCAATGTTACGAAAGCACAGGCACAGGCATGTAGGCGTAACCTCTAGTGATACGGCAATGTTTGTGAAGTTAGTTTAAAAGAATGATATAGAATATTTGAAATGCAAATCCATTATCTTCCGAATCTGAAATACATAAGAAGAATACTGGTTCCCACAGGAACATTAATAACCATGGAAATCATGATAAACATTTTCACTGGTGAAACTGAGGAATTGTCCTATATTAAATGAAAAGGAAAATGCGTATTTCATATAAAAAATATATACAATTTATTAAGTGAAAAGGCTATACGTGGTGATTTCGGAAATCTACATTTTTCATATTTCACATCCATTGACCTTTTAGTTAGATATTATACACTACATTACCAGACAGAGCAATGGACTAAGGATTTATTTATTATTTTACAGACTTAAGCATGATTGTTTTGGGGAAAGACCCATAATGGATAGCCTACTGACCACAGAGTGCAACTTGTACCTCTGTCAGATGACTCTAGGTTGTGCTTGTGGCAGAATGAACAATTAATGGTTTACTACGGCAAATGCCTGGGGTCTATGATATGACAAGCAATGCTTGTTTGGGCATGATTTTATTTTCATAGATTTAGTCTTTTATTCAAACCATTCTTGCATATGATTTTTTTATTTTTTTTACATAAAAACGTTGTTGTGGTATGAATTTTTTACAAGGAGTTACTTCCCTTGTTGGGAGCTCTTTAGTTAGGGAGTCGAATACGGTACAAGTATGTAAACAAACAAACGTTTCTAAGGGCAAAATACACGTTTTCTGCACAAAATTTTGAATTAATTTTCAGTTTCTGGGATAACTCTTAACTTTCAAGACAGCTTCCAGTCTACGAACTAAACGTCCACCGAAATAATGGTTCGAATTTCGGAAAATCTGATCCGGAAAAGATCAGAACACAACAACTGTGAAATCTCGACTCTGGAAGAAGTTTCACTTCACCAACAAGATATTGAACGGATCGAATATTTGGATAAATGGTGTCGAGATCTGAAAATTTTATACCTTCAGAGTAACTTGATCCCAAAAATCGAAAACGTGAACAGACTCAAGAAATTGGAATATCTAAATTTAGCTTTGAACAATGTAGAAAGAGTGGAAAATCTGGAAGGTTGTGAATGTTTGAATAAGTTGGATTTGACTGTGAATTTTGTTGGAGAGCTCACAAGCATAGAGAGCTTAAAGGATTTATATCATCTAAGGGAACTTTTTTTAACAGGAAACCCTTGTACGGAATACGAAGGATATAGGCAATATGTTCTTGGAACTTTACCGCAACTTCAATATTTGGACGGCACGGAAATTGGAAAAGCTGAAAGAATCAAGGCTTTGCAAAATTATGCCATCACGAGAGCTCAGATTATACAGCAGCAAGGAGAATACAAAAAGAAAAGAGAGAAACAGAAGAAAGAAGCCGCAGAAAAGGAAGAAAAGGAAAAGATGAAAGATGAATTAAAGAAAGACAAGAAAGCAGGTTTTGATGGAAGATGGTACACAGACATGAACAAAGAAGCCCAAGAAGAGAAAAAAATTGAAGAAAAGGCAGAAGAAGAAGAAGATAAGGAATTTTGGAATGAAAAAGTTGATTTTACACCAGAATCTAGAATGGCTGTCCATAAACAAATGCAGAAAGAGAAAGATAAAAATAAACCAAAAGAAGCAACAGTTCAGAAAGCTCCACGTAGACTCTTCAATGATGAAGGGCGACCATTGAACGTGAACGAAGCGAAAATTGATTTCACGCTGACGGAGGACGACACAAACAATATTATATTAGACTTGGCCATTTTTAAACACATGGACACATCTTTGTTAGACTGTGACGTACAACCGACCTATGTTCGTGTTACAGTCAAAGACAAAGTGTTTCAACTCTGTCTCCCAGAGGAAGTCAAATCTGACTCCAGTGTTGCAAAACGGTCTCAAACAACTGGGCATTTAGTTATCTACATGCCAAAATTATGTACAGATGGATCGATCATATCTACGTTACCGAAGGCAAAAGTTGATCCAAGTTTCAAGAAAACGGTGCCTAGAAAAATTGATAAATCCAACACAGAACGACTAGAAGTAGAGCCTAGTGCTCATAAAGGGGTGGATATTTCCAATATTGTTAAAGATAAAAAGGACATAGTGCCTCCATTAGGAAGTAAGAAAACAGTAAAGAAAACAGAGAGACCTAATAGCGAAGATTTTATAGATGATCCTGATGTTCCACCATTAATTTAAATAATTTTTTTTTAAATTAATTTCATCCACCATTCCATTTCATTTGAATAAAAATTTGAAATATTAATTGAATATTTGTCAGTTTAAATGTAGACTCTGAAAGTTTCAAGCCTGCTAATACCATACACAGTAGCTGTAGTTAGACGTTGTGCCAATCACCAGTTGAGTATGTTTGCGAAATAAGGAAAATGGTTATGAGTTCCAAACACAACTCAGTTGCATGAGAATTACATTCAAAGCTTAAAACCACCATTATTTTTTCCCCAACCCTACTCAAGTGGTGATTGCATGACGGCAATGTTATGGGTTCAAACGGAACATGCAGATTTTTCAACCAAGTCTTTTCATGATAGTGAAGCAAGTTGGACGTACTGATATGGAAATCACATAACTTCAGGGTATGGCCAGAGTTGTTACATCAGGGATTTTCAACCTTTTTCCTTCTTTAACCCCTTTTTCAGGATCCTTGACTGATTGCATGTTTGTGAATAAGACTGACTGAATAGACCAACTTAAATAATGATTTCCAAAGATTTTATGCTAGACTACAAAGCACCGCATATTTCAAAATTACCCCTTTACCCTTAGGTTGAAAACCCCTGGGCTACATTAAGTAAAAAGAATAAAGACAGTCTACAGGTGAACATTGATTTAATGTTTGTTTAAAACTAGAAGCTATAATAGATAGCGAGATACTGATTGGAATGTCAGCTATAACTAAAATATAATAATAATATATTATAACCTTCTGGTATAATTATTATAATTTATATTACATACTTCATTTCTATCTTGAACAATCTCCATATTACATTACAATGAATATTGTCATGCTGAGCCAGCAAATCTTTTCTTATAAAACAGAGATTGAAGGCAAAAATATATCATTTTTTCAAGTATATGGCTAATATTGAGGACATTGCCATTATGAATTTGTAACATACCTCAAGGTTTTGATTAATATAAATAAATTTTAAGCCAATCTGTGACAAATTTATGAAAATAAATTCTATGCAAATTCAGGAAATGTGTTTCAAAAGAATGGTACAGAAAAGCCAAAATGCATTGGTTCAAGTTTTTTCATTTAGCTGCAATAAAGACCAGATACAATTTGAACAAAATGCATGAAATATCAATTTTGGCAACCAATTATTTTGAGATCTATGTCACAGGAAATATATATGAAAGAAACCCAATATCAAACAAAAATTCACAACATTGACCCTGTGAACACATTAAACACGAAAGGTATCGAATGAGGCATAAGCTGAAGTCATTTGTAATGGAATATGTAGATGATATTATTCGAAACTGTCAAGATATTATTAGCATGTAATACTGCCCTAATTAAAACCCACAATCTAAACAGGGAGCTGGTTTTTCAGACTCACCTCCATTGTAGAGATAGAAATTAAAACTTCAGATTTAAAATAATAAGATTTTTCTGTGGTTTTTATTTTAAAATTGAAGGCTTTATCAACTTTTTCAAATTATAATTTTGTAAATTTTAATCAAAATTTTTAAAAATGTTAAATGATTTTCAATACAGTTATATAGTTGAATTTTTTTGACACATCTTTCAAAAGAAAATGTATATTTTATATATCTTAAGAGGTAAAGAAAAGAATGTTTTCAAATGATAAATATGTGCTCAATACATCAATAGAGCTAATGTAGAACAGTTCTTCTTTAAGTCATGCAAATTTCAAAATCATATGCAAATAATGGATATCTTTCTCAAATTTACAATAGTATTCAATCGTTGAATTCAAATTCATAGATATTTTAGAATGGTTATAATTTGATAAAGTTTTAAAACCACAGATTTGGGCATAATCTTGTTAAATGTTCTATACCATGCCTTGGTGGGCCATATTTACAAAAACTTAACTTAAATTTAGAATTCTCATAATTTCATTGGTCAAACACAAAATTAATTTTGAATTTAGTTTTATTAACTAATTAAGAGTCTTGTATTTCCCCAAAAAATTTAATTTAGTAATTGATTTGGAAATTAGAATAATTAACCAACTATTGTATTTCTCCAAATCAGGAGTTTATCAATTTAAGTTCAGATTTGTGAATAACGCCCCTGCAAAATAGTACTGGATAATAGAGACATTAAGAAGATACTGCCCTGAATAGCACTTGATAATCAAGTCAAATAAAAAGATTATAAATTAAAAACTAGATGATAAATAAGGTAGGATTTTTCAGGATAAAATATTTACAATTTTTCATATGACTATCACTCCACTTTCGAGACATAATGAAAATGTCGTTAAAAATTGCTAATTTTTTTTTAAAAAATAGATTCTAATTTGATTGTAAATAGCACCTCTCATGTTTAGAACACGAAGCACATGAATATCACACACTGGGGATGATTGATAACTCTCCATGGATTCCTACAATCAACCCTGAAAAATCCTTAAATAGCATAAACACACACTAAACATCTAAAGCGCACCACGTGACATCACACGTGGGAAAAGGCAGATTTTGACAAAATTTCTGGGATAAACGACCAATTAATAAATGCCATAAATTACTTATTTGGAAAAAATTTTCAGTTTTAAAAAGATTATAAAAATGTTTTCTGAACATTTTATGTATATTGTGGACAATGATATCATCAATTTGCATCTTGCAAATTTCATTAAGACATCTGTGGGTCTTGATTATGCCATAAACAATCCCTAATACACACAAAGTTCAGGAAAAGTCATTACAAACTCTTACAGCAAATCAACTTATGTCATAAATGCTTAAGCCCATCACAATACGAAATTTTCAAAACTCTACCTTTCCTGAAATAAAACTAAACTGTTTGTCTTAGCATCCTTGATAAGACTTTTTGCAAGCATCGTTAACTATAGACCACAAGATATAACTAATCTTAATTAAATGCCCTAAATATAATTCAACACACCGATGGCAATTCTAAATATTTAGCAATATAGGTGAAAATGCGTCAGATTTTTCATTAAAAATATTCTTACACTTTGCAATATTCCAGCCAAGACAAGCATTGTTGACCAAGTTTTCAAATAGAATTCATTTTGCATTCTAGAGGAATTCACTCATTCAGAGAAAAAATTAAAATCACATGGCACAAAAATTTAGAGGCAAGGTAAAAAGGCAGATGCTTCTTTTGGAAAAATTTCTCAATGTCACATTCTGGTCTATGAAGTAAGGCATGAAATCAATGAAAACACCTCTTATCTTAATAATGAACTAATCCAAACAAACATATCATCTATGTATCAAAAGATATAAATATGCATGTGCAGAAGAGTTCATTACAGAATCAAGGGATGTCAAATGCATGAAACACTATTTCTAACCTTACAAAATGAAGAGTTAAAAATATCTTCCTATGGCTGAATAAAACCTTTATCATACAAACCAGAAAGTAAATGGAGAGATCTGATTGGAGGGAATATAAACTATGTACACATCGGCCAATAATATCGTCTCAATAACATTCTATTATACAAATTATCACATTTAATATCGTAGTTATGGTGACAGGTGATGTTTATAAAATTGTGAAAATGACAAAAAAAGATACTGGCCGTAAAAATCAGGACATTTAAGATGACCCACTGTTTTAAGCTACCCTTAGCTCTTTCCAAATTTGAAAACTTAACACTTAAATTTGACAGTTCATTACTCAAATCAAACAGAATTTAGTTTTTTTTGAAGAGAGCCAGATGCCTTGATCCAAATGGCATAACTTCTTACATGGTCAAGACTAAATTCTGGTTTTACAAAACAATTGAACGATAAATGCCCTTTTATAAATCTTAAGGCAACGAAGTAATACATAATCTTACCTATCTAAAGAAATACTTAAATGAATGGAGTTTTACGTCCTACTCTTCTGCACCTAATTTGACTAATGAAGAGAGGCAACATCATGCAGTGTACAATGAGAGTAATTTTACCAGGACACCAGCATTAACCTACTTTTTTTGGCTTTCCATCTGTCAAAGTTGAGACATACTGATGCAGAATTAACTAATCATTTGGTTCATAACAGTTGCTTTTTAAAAAACGACTGAAAAAATATTTTGAACTTAACTAAAGACTATGTATAACAAAGGGGTCAGAGCTGTCAAAATTTCTCAAAGATAATACATAAAGAACAACTTTTGATTTCTAACAATTTACCTATCGTTCAGAACTTAGTGCTTACATACAATTCTGATAACAATGTTTGAACAATTTCGATACCAAGGTTTTTGCACCGATAAATGACTGCCATGATTGAAATAACTAATGGATTATCAAAGTGATGAAAAGTATAATGAAGTATTATGATTCATGGTATATCAACAATATTCAATATTATTACTATACCATATGACTGATATGACATGAGTCCTTGCTAAGGATATATAGTAAAATATTCATTTTTATAAAAAGATCACATTTTTTTTACCCTGCCCTTAAAAAGTTTGTATTGTGACTTATTGAAGGTGGATTTCTAATGAATGACAAAGTTTGTTCGCATCTCAAATAGTAAGGAAATGGTGTGATGCATGGATGAAAGAAGTCTACACCCAAAGCAGCTACCACGCCTCACATTTTTTTGGGATTTATCATTAAATCCATTAAGGTCAAAAAAGACATCTCATCAATTGCGCCCGAAATTTAAAATTGGGGTCTATGTTCAATGGCTTAATTCAAACATGGCTTCTCCTATGGTCAACCTATTCTAGTGTCTTGATGTTGATTAAATACTTATGGCATACCATAATCTAACAAGAAAGCATGGTTTGATTAGCATGGTAACGGTGTAAACTCTTTAGTCAACCTATACTTGGAGCCTGAAGCCCATCAGCTTTGAACAGATACCAAAACTATTTGATACATGACGCATGACTTTGATTAGCATGTGAAGAGTTTAAAATCCTTGGTCAAGCTAACTGTTAAGTCGTGAAGCCAATCAAAATCGCATGAAACAGGACATGATTGGAATAAATAGAAAGAAAAGCATGCAACTATATAATACAATGGACATTATTTTTTACCCGTAGCACATCTGATGCATTTCAAAATAGACAATAAAATAATGATAGGTTGGTCCAAACATATCTTAAAACTTTGGTAGTCTGAAGTCATGTTTTTCCTTGGAATGAAAGCTCTTTTAATAGATCTTTTTTAACAAAAATATTTTTCAAATCTTAATGATTTCGACCAAAATTATGACAAAATTTCGAAATCTGGGTTAAAAAAGAGTTAATATTTTGCCACACCCTTTTTGTTTTTTTTCGATCCAAATGAAAGAGGAGCAAACTCGAAATTTAACAGATGCAAATAGGAGATAAAACTAGCACCAAAAGACAAAACCCTCCAAGATTCCAAAAGGCATGAAAAAATTCATATTCAGACTACCAATAAGTTGTGTCCTAAAATAATGGCATCACATATTAAAAATAAAAGTTTCGGGAACATCAAAAGTGCTAGGCTGTGATCACATATAATTATGGTAAATCTTAAATAACATAAATTAATTCTGTGGCACCAATCAAAAAGTTAAAATTAGAATAAAAGCTTTGAATTCCATTACGGTATATAGAATTGATGCTCTTGGTAAAATATCATGAAGTGAACTGCATGCTGTATTCTAAAAGGCAGCTTATCAGAAGATTTTCAGCTAACCTTCCTTGAAACAATCCAAAATAAAACTATTTTAGAAAACATTATCTATACATATACCACTATATCTTTTTGATTAGCAAGTTTCGAAACTATTTCAGTCAATTTCTATGAATAAATCCAATCAAAATCCGAACATTTCTTTTAAAACTTGATTTTCGGAAATATTTTAAAGATTCACACATACTAAATTTATCCAAGAGCATCAGAGTAATGACAAATTGCCTCCATTCCGACCGAGTCCTTTAAAAACACGTAAAACACAGTTCATCACAATACTAGGCTTTGGACACAGTAATGTTTGATTTTTTACATGCCCAATGAAACCTGTCATGGGAGCCACTATCAGAATCGGAATCGGATGACTTGGAGCTGGATCCTTTCTTGTAATTTTTTCTGTTGAGATTTTTGTTGTAAGAGGAATAACCGTGACTCGAATGCTGCTGTTGCTGCCAGTGAACCTGATCGTTAACGAGGGTGAAGGATTGGTTGTGATATTGATGGACCTTGTTATGAAGCTGATTAAAATTATTATTGGTGTTAGAATAATAATTTCTTGAACCCATGATGTGAAGACTTTGTTGTTTGCTTCGCTCCACTAAATCTTCCAGATCTATCGTATGAGCTTTGTTATCAGTTCGTCCATTTTTAAATGAGGCCACGAGACAACAGGCACCTGTAGTTTCACCAAATCTACAAGAAAAAATATTCAAAATATTAAATATAAATTGCAAAAAAACTTACTACAAAAACCCAACAAATGCAAATTCAAGAGCTTCCATAGACCTCAAAATATAGGTCAAAAAAAGAAAGAAACAAAAATGAAGGACGACTTAGTTTCACAAAGGATCCACCAGCTTGACTTTTACCAAACCTCTTGGAAATGAATTATCCGTATCAATTTTCATCTGGGTCAACTGGCTTATTGAGACTCTTCACACGCTAATTGCTATCCACAACCACAATATTTTGACGTAACCTAACACTAGCTGTTCCAGTCTGTCCTTTCATACATCTGACAAGAAGCTTGACTTGCTCCAGAACTTCATTTCAACAGAGAGAATTGGAAATAATTAAAAGATTTGCCACACACCTGCAATAAACCTCATCAGGATCCACCCATAAAGTCATTTCACTTGGCATATTTAAATCCCAGAATTTCAAACCACATTTTTTAGCTGCTTGTTCCAGCACATCGTCCTTAGGATCACAGGGGTTGATTCGAATACATCTGTAACCTTGACCTTTAAATGGTTTATCTGCGTACCAATGGTTTCTGAATCGACTCACTAATATGGTGGAGAGACATGAAGAAAATTCATCAATTTTAGAATTTGATAAATTGTCATTCATCTGCACAAGTCTCTTGACAAACACAACAGCTGCAGCAATTTCTTCCCTCATATTGTCTATTTTTTTTTTGTTCGAATTCACACTTTCTGAAAGAAAAAAAAAAAAAAAAAATCAAGGTGTTAATAACATGGGAACAATTCAATTCAACCCATGGCCTAACACTATTTACACCAAAATTTTATGACCGAGAAGATGCCTTATTCCATGCTAGGTTGTTACTCTGAATCAATACAATTCACACCATTAGATTTTGAAATTTAAATCATTGTTTTCGTAAGCTAAACTTTTTTTTTTCCATGTCATATTTGAGAGGTAGAGGAATGATGATGATTGTTAAATATTTGATAAATATTTGACACTAGTGAGCTTGTGTTGGCTCAAAAAATTTTATAATCAATTTGACATGTTATATTTTGAGATTAAACAGCTGTTTGCAAACGACAGCTATGTTAATCTAACCCAGAACCAAATTAGCAACTCAATGTTTGAACTTGACCCAGTAATTTTCCACATCTAATTCTAGATCTACTCCTACTCACTCACCACTAGGCTATTCCAGTTTACACCAGTTATCTTCACACAATCCTCACCTAAAACACAAAAATACAAACAGATGATCAATTTGATTGAAAATACCTCAAAGGCTTTATGATTTTCGATCCTAATATACAACAGAGTACTTTTCCTGGCCCCAATATTTTATGTGATTTTTCATTTGCTAAAAATCGGCCATTTTTAATGACTTTCTCCGCCTTCATTTTGTTGACAAAATTTAATCAAAATTTGTAACAAAATGTCTGAAAAATATTGACTCAAATTCTCTGAGTACCTTTAGTGTACTCAGTAAGTGAAAGACAGGTCAAAAGAAAGAAGATCGAACTTAAAAATTTGTAGATTTTTGCTTATTTCCGTTACTTACAAACCTTTCCTCCGTCTAGAATATCTGCTGCCGATGACGCAGTTTGTTTTGGTCATAGATCCATTAACCAATCAGATTTTGGGTTTTCCGAAAGCGACACCTAGGAAATTTCCAGAAACAAGGGCATCTATTCATGCAAAGACATACAGACCACAAATACACTTTAATTAAGGGGAGACTACAAATGTTTCAGACTACAAAAGTTAAATTGCAGACACAGCTATAAAAATGTAGAAAGTAAAACCAAGGAGAATGACAATGTAAATTGTTGAAACGTTGTGTACAAGGAACACCAGAAGTTATACACGATACAACAAAATGTGTTTTGCAAATCGCTTAGACCTATTTGTATAAAGTTGAAATGCATATTTATTACAACTTTACTCACTAACAGTGAGTAATTTTTCCAGCAGTGATTATTTTACAAGCAGTGATTACATTACTCACTGTTAATACTCTACTCTGCCAGTAGTGACTACTGTATTCAGAGTGATTAGTTTACCAGCAGTAATTAGTTTATCAGTAGTGATTAGTTTACCAGCAGTGATTAATTCAACAGCACCGACTACTCCAGCAGTGACTACTGTACCCAGAGTGATTATTTTTCCTCTCAGTGATTAATTCATCAGTTGTGACTATTTTACCAGTAGTGACTACTTTACCAGTAGTGACAAATGTTCTCAGAGCGATTATTTTACCAACAGTGATTACTTTACTAGTATAGTGATTAGTTTACCAGCAGTGATTACTTTATCATTAGTGATTACTTTACCAGCAGCGACTACTCAATACCCACAGCAACTACTCTACTCAGTGATTACTTAACTTACCGCAATTATTTAATTCACAATGACTATTCTATATTACTTTACCAAATACCGAAAACCCAATCAAGCTGATATGTGTCTTGGAGGGCAAGTGAAAAAATGATCTGTTCGACGATAAAATGAAATAGTAGAAAATAAAATAATTACATACAGTTACAATATATTATGTCGTATATATTATACCGGTATGTCTGATTTGCCGTTAGGGCTGTTTTTTTTTTTTTGACGTAAGCTGCTCATTTTTTAAGTCAGATAACCAGTATATCCCCGGCATTTCCTTCAGGCCAAACCGGAGCAGAAAATTAGGATCTAAATTGTTTTTTATCATATACCTTTTGTTTGGTTTTGACCTCGACCATCCATTAAACGATTTATCGTAAAAGTTCTTCTTGCATTCTACCACAGATTCAGCTCTAAGGAAACTGCCGAAGATTACCGAATAGGCCTACATATTTTCAGATAAGGCCTATTATAAGAGTCATTCAACGACTGTTTTCCAGAACGCCAAAATATGTCTGCACTTGCTCTTATAATTTGCATTACGAACTCAAACCAAACACAAAATATATCCTATATAAAGAAGGGCAAATTAAAGACACCTGAACCCCCTCCCTATATAATATATTTGTCTTGACAGAAGATGGGTAATATTTTGACAGTAGTGTAAGAGTTTATAATAAAATTAGATTATTTATTCCGAGGTACAATAACCCACTTTCTTCTCAGTATACACTACCAGTAGATGTAGGCTTTATTAGTTCACGTGTCTTGGCCAGGACGGATCGTCAACCAGGTAGGACAGTTTCTGATTTTTCTTTCTAAAAGAGAATTTAAAAACCAATGCATGTCTGTAGGCTAGGTCGGGTCGTCAACCAGGTAGGAAAATTTCTGATTCTCTGATTTTCTTCCCAAAAGAGTATTCAAAAACCAATACATGTCTATAGGCTAGGACAGGCCGTCACTAAGGTAGGACAGTTTCGGAAATATTTAGTTCAAAACCAGCTACAGATTATAGCCTATGCAGACAAGTTAGAAACACTAGCCGCAGGGCGTGGTGCGAGGATCTATGGGAGTCAGGGATCGTACGACTTTGATTACAATTTTTTTTTGAACGAATATTGAAGAATATATTAGACTAAACCCGATAAGAAAATTTAGTATATGTAGGGCAAGGGTAAGGAACAAGCAGGAAGAGCCTATTTGGGCATTAGGGTGGGGGCCCTAGGAAACATATTGACCTGAGGGCCCTGACCGCTTCAGCATGTCACTTTAATTTGCTACTTTCGCATTTAAATCCCAGCAATCCCAGTGATTTCATGTTTACTCGGTGCCGTCTCTTTAATGGGGTACGATAATATTCAGATGTTTATCTACATGCACTTTTTTATTCAGCACAACGAGATAAGTCGACCTCTTTATACTGTACATTGATACAGATACTGCACATATTAATGAATAAACCGAAACATCTGCCTCTATTCCAGCCTCTGATAGCTATTTTGAAGTTGTCGGCTGAAGTGGAGGCAGAAAAACTAGGCCTTGTTGTATGGATATTTCCCGCACCGATTTAAATCGGATCCACCAAACCAAGATATAATATTCGGAAAGATGGATATTTGTGAGGTTCCGTCATACCATCATTTTCTTTCTATATAGTATCATTTTCGTCACGTGTGCAGTTTCCATCAAAGCTTTTTTGAACAAAACCGATCTCTCGTCGACTTAAAAAAGCCAAAAGTTCAAGGGTCACCAAGTTACGTGATACTAACAATACGAAAGTTATGATGATACCCGATCTATCCGAAGTTTGAACAGAGGCAGATGTTTCGGACTAGTTGATGATATAGGATCGAATAGATTCAAGTCAAAACATTGAAAGTCTTCAGATAAGACACGGAACACGCCTTAGGATTTCCAGGTGTAAATATTTACATTTGTCTTTTGTTTAGGAAACACCGAGAGATTAGCATTCGCCATTTTTTGTGCTGAGTTGTGAATTTTGACAAGTGAAAATCAAATTTAAGGTAAGGTGATAGTTTTCTATGCTTATTTGAAGCTATATGTCATTTACAAGGGTATACCAATATACTTTGTGGCGACGCCAGTGTGGGTACAGGGTGGGTGGGGGTGGGGGTGATTTGCAACCCCAATTTTTTACCCCAACTTAATTTTTGACAAATTCAAGAATGTGATTTTAATGCGTTTTTACCCCATATATCATATTGTAAGAATGATCCAAATCAATTCAAATTTTCGAAAATTTTCTTGAGAATACCCTTTCAGATGCTCCATGAGGGGCTTGTGACTATGGAATTTTGAATTCAGTCTAGACAATCCCCCCCCCCCCCCATTTTATTAGTCTGCCCCCTATTTGTACCCACAGTCAATGAATATTCTTGTAGAAATTCACCAGTCTAGACAGAGTCCTAGCAACCGTTATTTTTGACCACATGAGAAAGATATTAATCCCGACCCAGCCAGTACCCCCCACCCCAAAGGGAATATATTATAAAGTGCAAAATGCATACACATATTCACACCATCTGAATGCATATATCATGATAACATGTTATTTTGGGTTGTTATCTATGAACTATGAATTTATACTGTGTATCGGTGTTTTGTTACATATTTTAATATTTCAATATTTCAATATACAAAATAATTCACTAAAGGTATCTTGTCCCTGAATTCAGGTTAATGTAAGGCCGAAAGCCAATACATGCAATATCAGACATCCTTCCGTTAATTTTAAACTCCAAAGCTAATTAAATAGTATACGAAAACTTTTTAAGTTGCTTGAATATGCTATTTAGAGGTAGAAAACTACTGTACAGATTTAAGTAAAATAAACCTCTAATCGTAGAGAAATATGTCTCCCAGCTAAAACGCAAAATACCAAAAAACTGATTAATTAACAATTAGAACTCTCCGTTTTTAATTAACCCTTTTTTTATCTAGAAGATATATAATATAAAAAGCATACTTTAGAAATATTTTCAGGTATAATTTACCACGTTTTGATAATGAAAATATTGCATACATCTCCTTTAAGTCTATTGTCAAGTTACTGCATATTTCAATTATAGAGGATGGATTGTTTACTGTTTTATTCATTGTTATTGGTTACTGGCATTCCATTATATACAGCAAAACAAAATAATATTTCGCTTGGAAAACTCGTGTCAACTTGAATATACCTGAACAAAACAAGGCATTCTTTATGTCGAGATAACATTCCTTTGTCAGTGCTTTCTGGTTGCATTAACATTATATTAAAGGAATGTAGCCGTCTAAAAAAAAAACTCAATTCATTCATGGAATTGTCTTTAACATGTGGAATTAGGTTTTGAATTGGCTTTAGATACGGAATATGGTTTGACAGAATTTTACGCTAATGATATTGAAGGGTTTTTGCGATAGTGACGTCATAAAACGCTTAGGTTTAGTGGTATTGCAAGAGCCGCAGATGTCTGACTGAAAATTAAAATGGTGCAAATTGTTGGTATCAGTGTCGCTGACCTGTTCACTATCACTTTAATAAATATATATATATTAGCTATGGCAAAGATACCTTTGACATTGCTTTTAATACTTGCCATTAGAGTCGACAGATATACTTTTATCATAATGGCGGCCAAACATATCTCAGATATACTCATGGTTAAAAAACAATCAGATCTTCATGGTGTGATGCAAGACAGAGAAAGAGGAATGTCGGTAATGGAGTCAGGTACATTGTAAACAGTCGAATCTGTTTTTATATTTTTCTGTAATTTCTACCAGACGCCCAGATCTCGCTCCCAGCATCAACAAAACTGTTTTCAATATTGCGTGCCATAAAATTCCAGTTTAAGTTTTTTTGTATTGTGTTTTGTTGGGATTTATAACAGAATCTCACAAGTTTTATTTTTCAATATTGCGTGCCATAAAATTCCAGTAAAGATTTTTTGTATTGTGTTAAATTGCAAATCAAAACGGAATTTCTGACACTTTTGAGATTTTTTTTTACATCTTTGCCTTATGATAGTAACTAGGACCAATTTCAGAAAGTTTGTGCTGTGTTCGTTTCATTGACTTTCTTGTAATATGACGATCTGTAATGTACGGTGGCTGATGGCGGACAATTCGCAATATCGCATGTTCGCATAGTGAAATTATTGGAGACCAATTTCAGAAAGTTTGTGCTGTGTTCGCTTCATGGATTTTCTTTTAATTGTGCCTTTCTTAGTTACTATAGTTATTCCGTTTGACATTGGTAAGTAATGTCAAGTTGACAAACCTATATACCAAATAAAGATCATTAGCCCTGTTGACTCTTTGACAGAGGTACCGAGTTGTCAAACCCAGATACCTATATAACAACATTAGCTATGTGCACTCTCTCAAACGATTAAAGGTTGTATTGTTTGCTATGTAAGCTACTACATGAAATGAATAAAAAATTATTTAGTTTGACATGTTACTATTCCTATGTTAAAAAGACTAATATCCTGAATTTTGTTGCCTTTCCACGATATTAATTGCATGTATAAACTTCAAACTAAAATACATTATTACATCTGTTATCTCCCAATGACTGTAATCTTCTGTTTTAATTCTCAACTAGTTCAGTTACATCTTATTTTAATTGAGTGACATTTTTTGTTTAACACTATCACCTGTTAGATTGTTTCTTATTCGTAACATTTAGTGCTAATAAATTCTGATAACAAGGGCAAAAACTCTGGCACTATACGTGAAATATTTAGTTATATAATGAATTAGTTCTATTTTCTTACTGCTATTATGTTCAGTACTGCTCAAAGACATCTAACTAACTTAGGTGTACCTTACTATGAGCCAAAAATCTCAACCCAAAAATTTTAGATTTAAATACTTGAATAATACACATATATGATGTCACCAGTAACAAAATTAAGGATAAATTGCTGAAAATATAAGAATTAACCTTCGTCTGATAATATATCAATAAATGCCTTAGCTAAAACACAGCAGATGGGGTAGCCTCTTTTTAACAAGTCTACTAGATCCACTGCTGCATCTTCACAACATCAAGGTATTACGAACACCATGATGGTAATAATACTTTGACAGTGTGAAGATGTCTTTACTGTTGACTGTAAGGAAATATAAACTGAACGTTTAAGGAAATGTGACATCAACAGTTAAAGAATTGTTGTTTTTTTATTTATATATAAAGTCAAAATAAGATTTAATATCATCTGTCAAGACATTACATGTACCGTATAAATCTTATGTCATAAAACTGTAATTACAATACCACCAAAACCCGTTATATACTGTGAAAAAAACTAATAAAATTTCAAATTTAGACGACATTAGTGACATCAAGAAATTATTTTTTGAATAAATTTTTCAGGTAAATCCTGTTGACGTAGGTGCATTTGAAATGCACCTATGAACACATATGTTTGACTTTTATGTGAATTCTTTAGTATAAAGTACGTGCTTTTTAGGGAATAGTTCAACCAAAGGTTTTTTGGAGCTGTAGCTGCTTGGTTTTGAAAGCTTGTAACGCAGGTAGGCTAAGAATTAATTTTGTTGATAACGAAGTTCTCGAATAGTTTCTAACAAATTTTTAAAAACTTATGAAACTATTTTAATTATGTTGATATTTTTTGCTCATAATGTTTTATGGTCTGTATTTAATTGCGGTATGATATAGCACAGCGAATTACCAAAATGGTGTTACTCTATGCCGTTCAATGACGTAGTCTGATTCACTTATTTAACGGCGACGTTGCCATCAGTAATAACAACGCTCTATCAGTTTGGCCTAATGTAATAATGACGTTATAATATCATGACTCACTTAAATAATGACGATATAATGACGTTATACCAACATGATCTACTTTAATAATGACGTTAAACCAACATGATCTACTTTAATAATGACGTTATACCAACATGACCTACAATTAATAACAACGTTATAACAGCATGACCTACTTTGATAACGTCGTAACGACATGGCGCACTTATGTCGTAATAAATTCATGCCCTTTTATGATAGTTCCTTACGATGACCTGATCAAAGAACGCAGCATTTGGCACTATGGTTCAGTGGCATATTAACGTAAACGAATGAGGATTACAAAGATATTTCACAGTGGTAACAAACAATCAACGAAAATTTCCCTAGCCCTTCCTTATAACGTAACAAAGTGGCTAATACTTTTGGGTGATTATTGTCGCGATTATGTTTGAAATCATGAGGATTATCTAGGCTCATCTGATCAACGACTTAATTTGACTTTTTGATCCGTTCTGGAATTAGGAATAGCCCTAATGATTATGACCAGGGATTTGCAAGTCTGGAAGTCTCGATCTAGATATCACGCGTACTGCCAAAAGCAGCTATTAGAGGCTAGACAACAGTTTCCGGTCCGAACAGTTGACCATGGTTATGTAAAATTCGGGCTATCATACCATATCAATTGGCAGATATCTTAGAGACCAGCTTATGACTGTTGTGACTAAGGTAAGAGGTGACTCCTTCAAGGGATATTGTAGCCTAAATATTTTCTTTACCAGCCGATAGAAAAAATAGAGCTGAGCTTGATTTCAAATATCCGTATACTCTTTTCTCACTCTATCACTCATATCCGTTTAGGCGTTTAGTCCACGCTAAGTTTATGTTGAATTCCGGGAGAACCCGGATACGATTCTCAAAAGAACTACGGGTAGCTGAAATTGAGTTCTATCAGCCATTGTTAATCAAGTATTTATTTCGAAACACCTGATGTTACTTCTCGTTTGAGGAGTCCTTTCCATGCAATTGCTCCCTGCTCATTCATGCTTTCGACCAGATTTTTAATTAACGAAATTGTTTTGCATGTGCGGATTTATTGATTAGACGACTGTGTAGCTCTTTAAAGAGACAAATACGCCATTTTTTGACCAATCGTACCTTAGTCTCACAAACGGGCAATATATTTTCACAACTTACTGTCGAAATTTGGGCCTTTAAATCCATGTGTGTCCAGAATTATCGACTCGTCTTTTTACATATATATTCTACACTTGAATCAACTCCCAAAATTGCGCATTTCCCTTTAAATAAGTTTCGTTTATATTCTAGAAACCACCTGGTACCGCCTTCAAAACATTCCAAAATCAAACGAGAAGTAAAGTTTCTCAGCAATGACTATAATATACCAATATAAAGTAGCCACTACATCACTGGGTGGTTTTGTTAAATTATTAGCAGCATGGCGAGGCAGTGTGTATAAACTAATGTTTAAAGAAATGATGATATTTGGTGGAGCGTATACACTCATTAGTATTACATATCGACTAGGCTTATCTTTAGAACAGAAACTGTAAGTACAACATAATCTGTAATTATACTGCCCGAATGGCTGCCCCCTCTGCACCCACCCCCTTCCCCCTTAAGTGTCCCAGATACACATACAAAGTTTAGAAAACCTCTTTGCAATCCATTTGGGTAGGTTTAAGAGGTCAGAAGTGGACATCCAGTTGACTATCAGAAGCACCAGCTGTGGCACCTCTGATGACAAATTATGTTTATTTTCAGAATTTTTGAGAAGATAGTCCAACACTGTGATACCTATACAAGTCTTATTCCAGTATCTTTTGTCCTCGGTTTTTATGTGTCGTTTGTTGTAAAGAGATGGTGGGAACAGTTCATGAACGTTCCGTGGCCTGACAGGTAACGTTTCTTATTGCTTTATACACACACCATTCCAATTTTTAGTCAGACGTCTGTGGTTCTTGCAATTCCACTTAAACTATGCGTTGTATGGCGTCACTATCGCAGAGGTCTTTATAACTATCAAAAGCGGCTTTTGCTATAGTGACGTCATGAAACGCTTCGTGTTAGTAGAACCACAGACGTCTAAATCGATGTCTACAGTGTCCCAAATACACATAAAAAGCTTAGAAAAACTCTTTACATTCCCTTTAACATAAGGGTTTAGGTTCTAGTTCTTGGATATTTTTGCTGGATGTATTGTGTAATGAATACCTCATCTACCAAGATACATGTATATAGCAATAAAGCTTTTTATCTTGCAGAACGTTGTTTATAATGAATACATACCTACATAGTGATGATGACAGAGCGAGAATTATGAGAAGAACTGTAGCTAGATATATGTTATTAAGTTTAATCATTATTACCAGATCTGTCAGTGTGGCGGTGATGAAGAGATTCCCTTCCACGGATCATATTATACAGGCAGGTAAATCCAATTGACTCGACAATTTCTGTCTTTGTAAAGCTAATTTGGGCGTGAAACTCACTTATGATTGATATACTTCCTCATGTGAATAGTTCATTCATGTGAATAGGTGCGACCAAAGTTTTGCCAATATGTCGTTTTGGATTTCGGGTTTCGCTTTGCGGCTCGATTGTAAGTAATTGGTTTATTTATAGTACAGGTTCAAGTTATGGCCCCACCAACGTCACAATGTCAAATAATATGTACTATAAAATTTGTATGAGGGACCAAACCATATCAGAAGGTCTAATTTGACTTGAAATTTTTCGTCTGTTGCAGGTTTTGCCACTAAAGAAGAAATTGAAATATTTGAAAATACGAAATGTAAATATAATAAGTTCTGGGTGCCGTTAATGTGGGCCAATAATATACTGGTACAAGCTAGACGAGAGAGAAAGATAGAAAATGATTTTGGTCTCAGAATGATAATAGAGGTAATCTTATACATGATGATTTCACCAAAGCCTTTGATGTTATCTCGCATGATGTTCTTACTGAAACTGGAATTTTGCTGATTTTATCAAAGCCTTTGATGTTATCTTGCATAATGCTCTTACTGATACTGAAATTTTGATGATTCTATCAAAGCATTTGACAAGATTAGCATTGTGTTCTGCACATAACTAAAAATGTTGTTTACACCCCTATTTATATTTTTCAGCAACTAGCGACGTTTCGTGATAAATGTTCGTTATGTTTTGTGTATGATTGGATCACTATACCATTAGTATATACTCAGGTAAGAACAGTAAACAGCAAGAAAATTATGCCTGCTGTGGGCTAGATCAGCCAACGGGTCCAATACAGTGGATGTTCAACACAGAACCTAGGTCTAACCTGCTTCGCCCCCCATCCCTCCACACTCAGTTAAATTAACAATTCTATTTTGTCTCCTTTTCATGATTGTTGTTTTTTTTAGGTAGCTACGCTAGCAGTTTATATATTTTTTGCGACCTGTTTATTGGGTAGACAGTACCTAGATCCTAATAAAGGCTATCCAGGATACGACCTAGATCTCTATATTCCTCTGTTCACAATGTTACAGTTCTTCTTCTACATGGGATGGCTGAAGGTAAGACTTGTCCAGATCTCCATTTTATTAGGCGTCATCTGTTGAAATTGGAGCATGGGGTCTTTTCTCAATTTCTCAATACAAAACCACTATGAATAATGCGTAATTTTCCATTGCAATCGTGCAAATAGAAGATCGATGAGTTCCCAACCCATACAAAAACCTCTTTATAATCGCTTTGAGACGTAAGACGTGGTCTGATCTCAGTCTGCACCGTTTTAATCTATATTTTTGACTATGCGTGGTTCTATTCTGATTCCTGTTTGAATATCTAGGTAGCTGAGCAGCTGATCAACCCGTTTGGTGAAGATGATGATGATTATGAGATCAACTGGCTGCTGGACAGACATACTGAGGTAGGTATAACATTTAGAAAACTGGTCACAGAGGATGCCATTCCATGGTAATTGTATTCCCTTTGAACTGCCATTGAGCCACGACCTAATAATAACAAAATTAGTACCTTGGATGGCCGTGGAACAGTTGGTAGATAGAGCGGCTTAGGGCCCCCACGTTTAAACGCGTCGTTATCCAATCCGTATATCACGTCCGTGGAACGGTTATGGTCAGATTGTGATGCTGTCTAGAGTTGGCTTTCCCCTTTGAACCATTATTATGGATAAGACCAAGGTTAGATTGACGGTATCTTTCTATGCCTATTCCAGGTGGCATTCTCGCTGGTAGACCAATGTTATGGTAAATATCCAGGCCTAGTTCAAGATAAATTCTGGAATGATGAGGTCGTCCCTGATTTACCTTACACTGAAGCTTCGTTACATTCTAAAAAACCTAATTTCTTAGGTTCAACTTATAACTTATCGTAAGTAATCACATTAGTTTGACAGAGATTTGATTGGATTATATACTAGCGAATACATCCAATCAAAGGCCTCAACACATCGCTTCATTCTGTGGTACAAAAACGTGCAAATTGTAGTCAAGGTATAAGACGAAGTCTGTAATAGCTTGACATTGTGAAGATGGGGTCAGTATGACTCCTGACATTCCAGTTATTCAGTCATCATGGTACAGCATTATATGGGACTCTGGGGATCGCCTATCCCCTACCCCCAAACCCCTCTCGAACTCTGCCATAGTGTTCTTGGGTAATGGGGTTTTTGGACTATTTCTTTTCTTCAGAAAACCATCAGTCGAGGAGCAGAAGATCCTGATTCCCAGTGCCAGTATGAATGGCATCAGACACCGGAATAAAGGATCGTTTGGTAGCAATATCAGTGGCTCTGTCATTAGTTTATTTACTGGTAGATCTAATACTCAGTAAGTACAGTTTTACGTTTATTTTGACTAACAACCAGTGACAAATACTTTACCCTGATAGGGAGTTGTATTTTCAAAACATGCATCAACAACATAGATATATAGCCTTGCTAATTGAAATCAATAAGGATGTTTTTTAGTTATTTATTAAGATTGGCGTCTTTAGTCAAAGACAAGTCGTCGTCTCACTGATATAGCTCAATTCCCACCATCTGTATCTCTTATCAAAACGAAAATCTGACGTTGCATCCTCTAACTACATCAATATATGTAAATTTCAGAAAATCATTCTACGATTCGAGACAATCACTATATTCCAACACTGGACAGGACAAGCTGTTACTTCCACAGACTAACGGTGGTCCAGGGTACTTTAAGCTCCCGTCCAACTCAATACCCAACACAGAAATTCCAGTACGCAGAGCTTCTTTTGACATATCTGATTCTCAGGACCTGGAGCTTCAGAGGGAGCGGGCCAATACAGATCACAGCGATAGAGATATACCAGTCGTTACCACAGAACGAGAGAGGAAGTTCTCCACGCCTTTTAATTTTACATTCTTTAGAAAGGAGAGAGATGACAAACCAGATTCTTCAGCTTCTAAACCTTCGAGGTTGGTTTTCAATATACTCCACGATCCTCTCTTTCGTTAGAGGCAACTCGGCTATTCTCGGCTGTTTCCGTAAAGCTGAATTTGAATGTTGCCGACCATAAGCTAAATTGCTATGGTGTACCGATTTGAGTATTCCATAGTCTGGCACATTAGTCTTAAACTCTCTGACTCTAATCGAACCTGTGATCGAGTCTGATGGCTGTTGCTCTAGTCCGCAATTTAGATCTGATTTTAATTTCAGATTCCAAGTGGAGCCAGTAACAAATGATCCAGATCAGGATTTTGTGGCACCAAAAACACGGCGGTCAGGACAGATCATGTGTCAGCTAGAAAAATATAACATGAAACATAATATCTCCCGACCACCAGTGTTGTCTGCTATAGAAGAAGGGGGGACAATCCATAGCATCAGACAACTACCATTATCTGGTGATAATAGTGACTTATCAGATCCTTTTGACGATCCTCATTTACTACAGAGGTAAGTGGAACATTATCACCGCGTTCAGTTGTACGTTTATTAAACCAATGATGGGCTAATGACGACAGACAATGCAATGCAGTGTGCAACGAGGGAAATTTTGTTAGGACATTGGCATTAAAAGATCTAAAGATAGCGAGCAACCGTTTTTTTTTATGGGCTACAGGAGATTGATCAGCCAATAAACACAAATCTTGCTCCAGTGTTGACAATTCATGGTTGTGGGTTAAGGTTTAAGAAATGCCGTGTCCACAACAGAGCTAACATAGTAGTCCGAAACATCTGCCTCTATTTCAGCCTCTGATGAATATTTTGACAGTTGTCAGCTGGAGTCTGTCCAAATAGCTATCCGAGGCTGAAATAGAGACAGATGCTTCGGTCTACTAACATAGATATTCTAAATAACCTCAAAGTGTCTTGTCCTATATTTCAGACAAAGGTCGACAGATACCAACCGATCAATCAGCTCATGGGAAGACGAAGACATATTAGATGAACCTTATTCACCATATGCTAATAATAGAATTATACCGGAAATTATTATAGAGGAATGCAAATAGAACACATTAGTATACACAAAATATATCAAATGACATTATTAGCTATGTGGACTCACTAAAATTGTGTCAATTGTCTTAACTTAATAACAATAAATATCAACTATGTGAACTCTCTGAAACGCATGCCAATTTGTCTGTTAAGTTGTGTGCGTTACCTACTATCAAATGATCGCCATTATAATGTAAACTCTCTGAAAGATGTCTTACCTAGAAGAGTATACATCAGTATACATACATGTATACCAAATGGCATAATAAACTATGTGGACTCTCTGAAAGACATGCCGAGTTGTGTATGTTACCTTGCTAACAAATGAACGCCAGAACAATGTAAACTAAATGCCAAATGACTTAATAAACTAAGTGGTCTCTCTGAAAAACATTCCAAGTAAATATTTCAGCAAAAGAATACATAGTATACCATTAAACAAAGTCAGTCAACGAGTGTCATATGGTGGCCCAGAGAGTCAGCATGCCTCACAGTCATGATAGAGATATCAAACTTGAAGTGAACTATATTAGCCACGAAAGGGAGTTCAAATTTACTATGTGGGTTCTTCAAAAGGTATTCCAAATTAAATTAGTCATGTCGACTCTCTGAAAGGGATTCTATATACCAAGTGGACATAATGGGCCTTGTGGTCTCTTAGAAAAGGATTAATAATTGATGTACACTCTCCCAAAGGGATTAAGGATAACAAGATAATGGAATAACAAAGACTAAATATCTGTATTTACCAGTCATGGCTGATAATTTGCGTAGTTTGCGAATTAATCCAATGCAACAGCCCTGCCATAAAACGAGAGATTATTCATTGTTTTCTGTATATTTTGAAAAAAAACGAGATTATAAAAATAAATATTTATTATAATGAATATATTTTATACACGTCGTTTTCTATCTGACATGTCACGTCTGTTGTGATTGGCTCGTGCTGTTTTATGTTTCTCTTTATACGCTCGGTTTTTCAAAACATCCCCACTTTGACCTTGACCTTTGGCTTGACCTTGAACATCATATTTCCTAGGTTGACCTCCACCTCTGCGAGCAACCTTAGCTGCGTATCTTTGAGCGGCTGCTTCACGTAATTTAGCAGGATCTGCAACAAACTGGTTCTTCTTCCATCCATCAGGATGTGTGGATGGACCCTGAAAGGAATTGAAATGATATGGAGGTTTATGTCCAAATGTCCTACTTGAATGAGCTAAAATAGATGGGTCCCATTTTGCTGGACCAAGCACAAGTTTGCTCATTTTGATCATCGACAATAAATGAAATGAATCGAGTTTTATGTCCTACTTTTCTGCACCTGATTGGGATAATATAGATGGGCAATGCCATGCAGTGTGCAATGACAGAAATGTTACCAGGAAAGCAGTATATGATTCTGAAAGATCTTGAAATGGCACAGCATGTAACATACAGAACCCATCATAAATTGTCTAATTCCCATAACTTACAGCATCCCGTTCAGCATTATCATCATCATCATCTTCTTTACCTTGTAGAACTCTATCAGTTCTAAACTGTCTAAAATATACAGAACAATAAACTATTACTATAAAACTAATAGGGGTGCACATTATTCACCTTGGCATTATATTCACAATTATACTGTAAATAGTTTCATCAAATCATCTGATTTTTTGATATAGCATTAAGGCAGTGTGGTACCAGGTGAATGCGGGAAAGAATAATTGAGACTACAACCACATGTCTACTGAGTGGATTCAATTACAGCTACGTCAACATAGTTAGACACTATCAAAAAGTCTCTCTGACTATATTACTTATGAATTCATCCAGTCATTAGTAAAATGGATTCAAAAATGAAACAAAGGATGGTCCATCCAACCGACCGACCGCAGATAAAAAAAAAATGAACAACCTTTTACTCATAAGTTCATCTGCAGAATCAGCATCATCTGCTCCGACATTATTGGTATCATACGTGTCATCATATTCATCTTCATACAGGTCATCATATTCCACATTTTTATCGTACATATTCTCTACGTACATCGAACCATACGCATCATAGGTTGGCTTCAATTCTTTTATTAAATTCTTATCTCTAAAAACAGCCTTCTCTTCTCTAGAATAATAAATTTGGGGCAAGTTTAGTAATGAAATATGAAATAAAATAATTATAAGATCTTAGATGTATGCAAATTTAATCTTAAAAATTCACTGTTTCAAATAAAAAGAATATAGAAACTGATGGTTATCATTATATATTTTGAATTAAGTTTGTTCTAAACTCAGAATGAAATAAAATGTCTCACTTTTTTCCTTTATGAATTTTGGACATGTCAATTTTATCGTTTCTAAAAATATCAAACTCATCTCCATCGTATATATTACGTCTGGTTTCTACTAGCAACTCTGGTTCTGGTGCTGCCATTTGTCTGAAAAAAAAAATACCAAAATATCTGTACAAATATGGAACATACCAGAATATATGTTGGTCAAGTTTCATCTAAAGTTAATAAAAACTGTAGTCTTTTAAAATAACCCAGAAGATTTCAAATCCAACTTACAAATAGACATTCATTGAAAGAGCAACCAAGCGCTTTGGGGATTCTTCTACAGTATAGAACAGCGCTCTATAAAACGACTTATTATAACTCTCAAAAGCACTGGTAGAGCTACAAAGGTGATATGAAGCGATAACTCATTACATTAGCAGCTTGGAGAAATTTTTCCTGATATTATGAGGATTCAAAATTTTATCTAGGTATTGTAGATGATTCAAACTGATTCAGAAGACAATCCATATCAGTGACAGATACCATATGTTTCCGAATATAATGCACAAGCGTGTATAATGCCCACCCCTTCAGTAAAATCAAGGGAACTAACCTTGGTAACGTTCTATCAATCTCAATTAAAGATGGAGGCAGCTTCTCTTCTAAAATACAGTTGATAACTCTTTCTACATTATAACTTAATTCTTCTAACGCTATCTGAAATAAACAGACGACATCTTGAAAAGACCGCAGATATCTTCAATCTCAAAATGTCTAGGACTTATGCAATTTATGCATGCTCTACATTCAAGATGTCACTATCGAAAAAGCTGCTACTTACATTTTAAGGGCCTCTGCAATGGTCTACTGTAAGGGTCTCTGCAATGGTCTACTGTAAGGGCCTCTGCAATGGTCTACTGTAAGGGCCTCTGCAATGGTTTACTGTACTGAAAATCGAGCGTTCAAAACCAGAGGAAAAAAAATATTACCTCTATAAAGCCTTCACCTAAATCTGGTAACAAATCTTTTACAGCTATTATCATAGAATCTAGTTCTATTGGTGAAACACTGGCCCCAGTGGCAGTACATCTCTCCTGTAACAATATTAATATTATTTGTACTCCCTTTTTAAAATTAAAATCTGACATATAGTTTGTCAACAATCAATAACATTCTAACTATTTTAACTGCCAAAGATGTGATAATGGATATCTGATATTATTATTCATTGAAGCAGACATAGTAGACATGTAGGATTAAATTGTAGATGAATAGATCTCAGATTTTCATATAGAAAAGAGACATGGGTGGCTTGAAGAGGAGTATTCACAAAATCACATAAGCAAATCACACTTTTAATAACAAGAACAGTAACTCCTACTTACAAACTTAGCTTGATATGCCTCATCAGGATAGTAAGATGCTTCAGATTCTGATTCTTCTGATCCCTGTCCATCATAGTCTGCCCCACCCCCATAGGCCCCGCCCATAGCACCTTGGTCATCAGGTGGCCCTGGGGAACCATCTGGACTAGTCCTCCCACCAGTAGTTGTAGCCCCTGAAGGCTTTTTGCGTTTTCCAAAAGTAGCGAAGGCTGTATTGACAGCATTCTTTATATAATGAAGCCTTTCCTCATCTCTACAGTTTAAGTTAAGGAATGATTTTGATCTATTTTTCACACTCCAAATCTGACTGAAAGTGTTCACAGAACACCGTTGAATTTTGAGCCTTCAAATTTATGTGTGTCCAGAATTACGTAGACACAGAGTCACATTGACAACTCGTCTTTTCTTGACACTCCATTATATATAGATATAGAAAGTTAAATTTTTACTTTGAAGTATATTTGAAGGGATTGCGCAGTTGTAATACTTCTGAAGACTATTTACATATATTCAAGACCCAAAACAACTCCCTAAAATGGCGAACCATGGCCTTTAAACAACCTACATCATATTTGAGCTGATTTATTGTCCCACCCGATCAACTATAATCTACTAACTAAAGGATACACACTGCATTCTGATTGGTCAAATATATCCATAATATCTTGGAAACTATAACTACTTTCATAATCAGCTAAAAACCTTAAATATATCAACAACAATCATATTACTTTTCAGAATTAGAATATACATTAGCTTTGTCTACAATTAAATGAAAACATATAAAATGGATGTAAATTCCCAGGGCTCTGTTTCAAATTGTTTAATAGAAGGTTTAGGGTGCAGAACTCTCAAGCTGCTCCCTTATTCAGTTGTTGGTGAGCTAAATCCAGGAACTGACCAGAGGCTGTTGGAAGGTCCACTAGTGTACCCCTCAAAAGGTTCTTATTTCTGACCTTTACTGGATCAGACTTATTTCTGCTGGACCCCTTAGAAACTTAACTTCACCTACCTACGTTCACCCAGTACACTAGTCATGGTGTGTAGGAAATCCTCCACATAGGGCTCAGATTCCTTCTTATTATGTTCTAGTATAGGCTGAATACAGGTATGAGTAATTATTAAATTAAATATCTTCTTTAACGATCCTTTACTTTGATGCAATTTCTGTTTCATTAGATGACGATGGCTGAAAGGAAAAATCCTATTCTCTCAAAATTTTATGGTAAATTCTTGACAAACCTAGATTTTCACTTTCAAATATAATTGTGATCGTTAAGAATTATTTTTTAATGTGTATCTGGGACACTGTGAGCATCAATTTGCACCATTCCAATTTTCACTCAGATGTCTGTGGTTCCTGCAATTCCATCAAAAATATGTGTTCGATGACGTTACTAATCGCAAAATATGCTTTATCACATCAAGCCCTTCGCAATTATTGACGTCATCAAACACATATCTCAGGAATATAAGAAATGTTCTGTATTTACCTGATATCATCAAATGTTCTCTCTTTAACAGCTTCAGCTAACTCTGGTATAACTTGTTCATAAAAATTAGCTAATCTAGAAACGATATCAAATAGTGACAGAAACTTTTTCATATTAACTTGAGGGTGTGCTATATTTGCTATTATACAGTATATGATTATTTGTATTGGTACATGAAGGATGATTGCGCAACATAAAATATTATATGGGTTAACTGTTAAATATCATTTGCCACCAACATGAAATATAAGAATGAGCGTGTGTTATAATCGCAATTATACAGTATATGGGCATTTGTTTGAAGCATGATTGTACAACATAATATTAAATGATTCAAATTTACACCATGGAATTTATTCTTATCCTCATGTGTTTACTGTTAGGTATAACTTAACATTTACATGCATAAACAAAGGCTTAAAAGTCAATAAATTAAAACACAAATGAAAGCCTCAACTCACTTCTGCTCAAAACTAAATTCATGAAATATTTGACAAGCTTTAGGATAGATTTCCATAAAACTGGCAAGAGTTTCGCCAATGTCTGTTAAATAGAATAAAATATCCTGGAAGTCACTGGTTGCTATGGTTACCAGAGTATCTGCCGATTCTCCTTTGCCAAGTTTCTTAGGTTCAGTTGCACTGTTTTCATTATCCAATCTACATTTTGCTATCACATTGTCAAATACCTACATTAAAAAAAAAACAGAGAAATGGATACAGTCCTCTAAATAATATCAATGTTAAAAGATGAAGGAGGCCTCAATTTAAGCTTTCCATAACTTTTTTCAGAACTAAAATCAGAGTTCTGGTTCACTTACAATTCCTAGATGCTATTGACATTCTCTACTTCAGCTTTTACCTATGACATGTAAATAGCATTTTGATTGGCTGGTTTGATAATCATGTGACATCATGAATATTCATTACCTCATACATAATACAAGGTTACAGTGAAACACGGTAGAAATATTACAGTTTTTGATGTATTGTAGAAACGATGTGTGGTATTACATAAACTAATATATAACAGTCAGAATAACATGCTAAAGTAAAACACGATAGAAAATAGAAGATAATTTTTAAAAAAGTGTACTTACGTGTAAGATAGTAGGAACAGTAGCTCTGAGATCATCTTCATATTTTGGTTGTTGGGTGAAAATATTGTTCACCATTTTGGAGAGAATTTGAGAATTGCCGCGTCCATATAGAATACTCATATCCAACATCTTGGGCACGTCAAATAAAAAATTCTCATACAAAATATCTCCGAATATTTTTGGTGTTATGAGATTCTCCTGCAAAATAAACATTTAATTATGTGACATTTTATGTAGTGTATTGATCACGTGTTATAAAGGAATCTGGGATCGTGGACTTCCACTCAAGGTTTCAGAGTGGTCACTTCTAGATGTGTAGTTGATGAATAATGTAGAAGCCATGCTGTTCATTTTATTCGAACATTTATATCTGAAGCCCCAATCTAAAGTCACAGTATTTTAAAACAGGATTTTTGATTTTATCATATACCAGTCATGTTCAGCTAGATGCCAGCAATGTCACCTTGTGATTTCGGGATTCAATATTCTTTAGTGAAGTTTGATAAGCCTTCACAAAATTCACTCATGTATTCACTTTCTCCATTAAATACATTCTCAGCTATTTTTATTACCTTTGATTCTTTATGTGTAGCCATTCGTAATAAAGTTAAAAATATCAAGCGATGGACTTCATTCTGTTTTTCTTTATATCTGTCTGGCAAATCAAGTCTATAGACTACATCAAATGATCTGAAATGATAAAATAATGAACTACAGGGGTGTTGTGAACTTTTTATGTGTATATTGGGGACTCTGATAGCATTGATTTGCACAATTTGAATTTTTTAATCAGACGTCTGAGGTCTCAGACATCACTAGATATTATAAGAAGACTTTACGAAAGTGAAATCATAAAATTCCTAGTTTTGATGGAATTGCAAAAAAAGAAAGGAAATTAAGTTCATCACCCACCTTGGAGCATAGCGTAGATAGGAATCTAATAATAGATGAATTTTCTCATCAAAAACTACCTGGAAAAGACAAAGACAGTTTTGTTACATTGATAAGATTTTTGTATTAAGTGTAAATTGTTACATGGAGATAAAATTTGATAGTAAAATTATTTCTTTCGAGCATTGCCCATTGTGTACAGCTAATGGAAACTTTAACACATAACAAAAAATCCATTATCAGTTAAAAACTTGCATAAATAATGCACAGAGTCTAGCTTTTTTGGTGCCTCAATAGTAGATTAAATATAACGAGAGCTCTGAAACCATAAGTATCAAGAATAACACACTGAAAAGGAAATTACCTGACACCAGAATATATCGTGAGGTTGTTGAAGTAGTTGATGTAAATCTTCAGCAATAAACTGTAATCGTTCCATCCACTCCCCATACTGAGCTTGATCACTGGTATCTAATGGTGGTGGTTTATAACTCACAAAATTTATACTCTCTATTCTACTGGGGTGCTGAAAGTAAACAATTATTTTGTTAAGTCCTTGGTTAGATTCATTTTCAAGGGATTATTCAGGCCTTGATCAAATCTTTAACATTTTCTTTGGACTAAAACATTTTCTAAGAAGCACGTTAGCTTATTTGAAAATTTAATTTTGAATATTTGTGGAATAGTAAAACATTTGAGATCTGAGTTTGCTGTGTTTGGAGAGTAACTGTTCATTATCAATTTAATGTAAGTTTGCATAACCAAGACACCGAGCTAAAAATATGATTTACCAGAGCTGGAATGGTTTCCGATTTACTGTCAGTGACATGCTTCTCATCTAGAGGTACCGACATATCCTACAATTAGAGAAAATCTTCCAAATGACAAAAATATACACTGATTTCATCTAATTTTGCAATTCGACAGAATTTCAGTCCGGATAAGAGCGGCCTTGAACTTGGGTGTGTAATCATTGCAGTAAACAAATCCACTTAACTAAGCACCGAATTCTCTCCAAAATACGATAGAATTTATTCTTCTGAATTTTTCAAGTAAAAATTCACTTACATTGATTAATTTTTTTTGATTTATTTTCTTAGAAAGTCACAATAAACAAATCTTTAAAGCAATAAAATAACTGCTCCCAATTATTTTCTGCGGATCGACAAAATGGCAGCCCACATGAGTAAAGAAGAGTATTTGAAACGTTATTTATCTGGAGAAGATTCCTCTGCGAATTTGAAGAAAAAGAAAAGAAAGAAGAAAGCTCCAATTCCAGAGAAGATTGTACCAAGGTAAGGCTTTAATTTTGACTGGATGAGCATCTAGAATTGAACCGTTCTCATTATTATTCATTAGTAAAGGCAGTAGGATGTAAAACTCCATTGGCTCATTACTAGGCCTAAAGGGTTTATTGATAGCTATGCCAATAGTTCATGTTCTAACTTGGAAGCAATTTCTTATCGTGGAGTTTGGTTGGTAGATGACAAGTTAACATCCGCTTCCAGCAGATAGGTAATCGGTCTACTGAGTCTAGATCTGTACCTGTCGGTCGTTTCCTTTGTAAACCTATTTATTTGCAGTAGCCTGATTGAGGATTGGTTACCCTACAAATTTGTGCTAAATTGACTCGACCACTTATCTTTCATTTCTTATTACAGTTCAAATTGTAGTGCTGTTATTGCTCTTTTGTGTTATCTTTGATCTTTCCCAGATTGTCTGTATAGGTACCTACCTACCTAAGTGTTTCCAAACGCAGGAGATCAGCTTTCTCATCTATATTTGGCTCATTTTCATCATCACTAATTTCATGTTTGTTACTCCCGGTATTACTCTATGTATAATCGGTGTTAAAGTCATATATCAGGGGATGGTTTTTCCAATATCTGTCTAAACGACGTTCAAATGTTTTTACGTTCTTAGCTGAAAACAACACTGTCAGGTAGGCTATTCCACACTTCAACTACTCTGTTGGTAAAATAATATTTCCTGATGTCAAGTCTGCTTCTGTTTTTAACTAGTTTGAGCGAATTTCCTTTTGTTGTTGAACTGGTGTTACGTGTAAAAAGACCAACAGTTACCCTTCGATCGTATACCGAATTACAACTGAAGTTTAAGTGTAAGACTTCTATTTGATGGGTGTTGTCTTGTTTCAGATCTAGAATAGTAGACGATGATGTTGATTTTAACTCTCTACTACCAGAGAATATCAACAATACCCTGGATGAGGATGTGGGAGATAACGAACCAACCGTAGCAGAATTTATTGATGAAAGACCAGATCATATAAAACAGATTGAAAGCTATAGGCAAGATGACAGATGGAAGGGTTTGGATAAATCAAAAGGTATTTAAAAAAATGTGTGATTTATTTGGTGTCTTGAACTGCTATAACCATATAATTGTGAATACAATTATATAGTGTATAACGCGCACCCTTTCATATCCTCCAGTAAATCTGGAAAAATCTCCCCGACCCTAAATAATACACATTACATACCCTTTCTGACAAAATAAATGTTGATATAACATAGACACCAAAATTTGAAGAAGTAAAGAGGATAGGGGATTAAAGAGAACTGCTTAAAGTTCCTCAACCTTTCTAGTTTTATAATATTTCAGCCATAAGTTCTTGTCTTTTACTAATGGAAGCAAATCAAATATTGTGCTGGTCTAAGATTGACGTAATTTGCAATTAATGCAAACTTAAGTACTATTTTGTGCTATTTCAGGTGAAGAGGACTTTGGAGTTGTCAAAAGTGATTCTGAAGATGAAGGGCCTCCAACAAGGCCTAGAAATGATTCAGATTCTGATCAATCACCAGTCAGGAAAAGAGGGAAATCCTCGGATTCTGACCAATCACCAGTCAGAAGAAGAGGGAAATCCCAGGATTCTGACCAATCACCTGTCAGAAGAAGAGGGAAATCCTCAGATTCTGACCAATCACCTGTCAGAAGAAGAGGAAAATATTCAGATTCTGACCAATCGCCAGTCAGAAGAAGAGGGAAATCCTCAGATTCTGACCAATCACCAGTGAGGAGAAAAAGAAAAGACTCTGATTCTGATCAGTCCCCAAAGCGAAAAAATTCTGTGATAAAAAAAAGACAGTCAAAATTTTCGGATAGATCTCCAAATCATAAAAGAAGCAAACACAATTCTGATTCGGACACAGAAGTGCCAAGAAAGAAATCAAAAACTGAAAATTCTGAGAAAGAAGGTGCTAAACCAACAAAAACTTTGGGTGGGGCTAAAGCAGGTTTATCAAGTGCTAAAGAAATGAGGCAAGAAGCTGAAAGACTCAGACAAAAGGAGGATGTTGCTTTTCAAAAGGTATTTAAAAATTGTTCCCTTATTTTTTTTTTTCATTCTTTCCTTGGCCTGTGCTTTTCTAATTTCAATTATACATGTAAATTGTTTTGAGAACCTCTCTCACATAATCAAAGTTGCAGTCGAATAGCTCATTCGAAGCAATTTAGGTTGTTGTCTGCAAGACGTTTGCTGCTGTGGTTTGGAAATCTCCTCAAGGCAAGAATAATTCTTATGCCAAGTGCTTTTGAGAGTTGGCTCAGTGTTGGCTAAGCCAACTTGGATTTAATTACATAATCAATGTATGTATCATTTAAGATTGGTGCTGCTAAACTTGGTCGAGATGCTGAAACTGTTTTCAGAGATAAAAAATCAGGCAAAAGAAGAAATTTAAAAGCTGAAAAAGATGAGCAAGATGCTGATGATGCCAAGAAAGCAGCAGAAATTGAAAAATACAAAAAATGGGGTAAAGGGTGAGTTTAATTTTTGAATTTATTTCCCCAGCTATATTGTATATTATTATATTGTTAGTTATAGTCAGGGTTATGATATGTATAACATTCACAAGATTCACAAGGATCCTTTCTACCAGTTACTCCTTGGCCCAACCTCCTGGATTCTGGCATCTGAAATATGTATACCCATTAACTGTTCTGTGGACTGCAATGATGACTCATTTAAATTCATTAGATGATTTGCCAGGCTGGATGAAAGTATCTTCTTGAAGGGATTAAAAACTTTTGAACTTAGGAGAAGTATACCATAAAATTGAACGTCAATACTTCCCTTTAGCGCTGGGTTGGAGCCCTGTCTTTTTGAGGCAGTGGAATAGGTGATTAGGGGCCTCGTGTTGAAATGTTGGAATCCTCCTCATGGTAAAAAGGTTCTTATACTACAGTCAGTGTTTTCAAGTGTCTGCTTTCAACCCTTGACACCAGTCAAATAGGCTTTCACCCAGACTTGACTGGCAAATATATCCTGATGGTCTCACTAAAGGAATTTATTTCAGTTTAAAGCAACAAGAACACCAGGAACAGTCATTAATGGCCGCCATCCATGAAGCCAACAAACCTCTAGCTAGATATAAAAATGATGGAGATTTAGATGAACATTTGAAGAATATGGAAAGAGCAGAAGATCCCATGTTAGCTTTTATTAAAAAGAAAAAATCGAAAGAAAGTAAACAACCTCGTAAGTGATTGATTTTGAAATTTTTGGCATGATTTTTAGGAAATTTATGATCACTTACTGATTTTTCCAGATTTGCTTGAGTAAAAATAGCTTTTTAATTATTTTTTTCATTGCACACTTCAAGGGGTGTCTTGGTTGTATCAAACTGGAGCAGTAAAGTAGTATTTAATACTCCATTCCTTTCATTAATCTTAAGCTTTGTCTAATTTCAGAGAAGCCGAGGTATAAAGGTCCTGCCCCACCCCCCAATAGATTCAATATCCAACCAGGGTATAGGTGGGATGGGGTCAATAGGTCAATTGGGTTTGAAGCTCAGATATTCTCCAAGATGTCTGATCAGAAAGCTATGAAGTCTATGGCTTACAAATGGAGTGTAGAAGAGATGTGAGGACAAGTCATAATAAGATTCGACAGGCAGTAAATGTCACCCCTTATTTTAAAAATGAGCTCCTCCAATCGATTAAAAGTGTGTATGGGTGGTACAGTTCAAAAGAAAGCTGAGGGGTGGCAAATAGATGGTTTGTAAACTATATTCATCCTTGTGGGGCCATATGATATGGTGTTGATGGTAAAGACTTGTTAAGAGGACTGTAAGGGCTCATTATGGTGTGTCTTGTAATGGAGTATTTATGGGAACAGCTTTCAGTGGCATGGTAGTGTGTGGCTCAGTTTGATGCCAACTTTGGGAAATATTTTTATGAAACATACTTCAAATATAGAGTGAGGACTGAACATCTGAAACTACTTATAAATAATGTAGACTGTGAATTTGGAATTATCCCCAGGTCTGCAAAAATTTCTTTGCTTGACTCTGTAATTATTTGTTATATTATCGTTGTAATTTAAATGTGAAATATTTTTTTTATGATAAAATGTTGAAGAAACTCCAGCAGTTGTTTTGGTCCAGAGATTGATATTTTTAGATGTTTTAGACATGAAGTAGTTGGGGAACAAACCATTTTTCTAGGGAGCCCCCCATCTGGCACCGTCACTGAATGTGAGCAAAAACAACTTTATAGAATCGTTGCCTCCTATTGAACGTGGTGACCACGAAAAACATGATCATAACTTTAATATATCATAACTGTAATATATCATGACTGTAATATATCATGACTGTAATATATCATAACTGTAACAAATCATAACTTTAATATATCATAACTGTAATATATCATAACTTTAATATATCATGACTGTAACATATCATAACTTTAATATATCATAACTGTAATATATCATAACTGTAATATATCATAACTGTAACAAATCATAACTTTAATATATCATGACTGTAACAAATCATAACTTTAATATATCATGACTGTAATATATCATAACTTTAATGTAATATATCATAACTGTAACAAATCATAACTTTAATATATCATGACTGTAATATATCATAACTTTAATATATCATAACTGTAATATATCATAACTGTAATATATCATGACTGTAATATATCATAACTGTAATATATCATGACTGTAATATATCATAACTTTAATATATCATAACTGTAATATATCATAACTTTAACAATCAAGCAACAGTAACAACAATTTTATATTTTTTACTCCAACTTGCTCTTACACTAAATCAAAAGCAAAAACAAAAAACGAAAATAAATATTTTAGGAAAATCCTATTTGGATTTGATAAAACTTTCAATTAATTATTGCAAAAACAAAAATAATTCTCGGACAAGTTAACAACTTAATGTTGACTTTACGCATGACCCATACAAAACGCAAGCACGTACGTCCAGTCGGACCAGCCTCATTTCCATGCACCCCTGCCTCCGTAGAAACGCCACTGATGAAAACGCATGCCCTGCTCTATGTAGGCAGATTTGGTAACACTAATGACCCCGTCGCTGCCTCGACTTCATCGTAATCGCACACAGAATGATTCTGGTCTCCGCCACTCGAGTTCCCACGTGAAGAACCAATGTGTTTCACCATGTGGTCTTTCATAGTGTTAGAATGGCGGAAGACTTTCCCACAGATTTCGCAGCAATACGGAAAGGAATTTTCGTGAATTCTTTTGTGCCTCTTAAGATTCCTTGGGTCGCTGAAACGCGCATCGCATATCTCACAACGGTGCGGTTTTTCTTTTAAATGTTTTGCAAGTCGATGCGTTTTCATACTGATTAGAAAATTAAACGCCCGTCCACAGATGTCGCACAAATACTGCCCGCTCTTATAACACGCGCGTCGATGACTTATTAGCCCCGAAGGCTGAGCAAATGCACGACCACAGTTTTCACACATGCATTCGAACAATTCGTTATGAATTTTTTTGTGTCTGAGAACGAATTCGTATTTGCGAGCTGCATACTTGCATCCCGAAAAATCGCAAAAGAAAGGTTTCAATATCCTATGTTCTTTCTTACAATGTGTTCTGAGCTCACCTTCACTTTTAGCTTTCCAATTACACTTTCTACATTGAAGATACGCACGGTCTGTATGTCGCAGTCGTTTATGAAACGTAAGACTGCATTGTCTTTCGAATTCCCGGCCGCATTCGTCGCATTCAAATTTCGGTTCTTCTATGCATGTCTTCAAATGATTTTCGATTTCTGAAATCGACCCGAAAATTGTTCTGCAATTGAGACATTTAAATTCACTTTCATTGTATTCCAATTCGTCTATTTCCATTAGCGATTCGCCTTCGGCTTTCAAAATCGACTGGAGTGACTCGACCGTTTGACGATTGGACAATCTGGTCCGACGGCCGCTTCCATTCCCTTGCGGCTCGTCATCGTCAGATACGTTTTCTTCCTTGACTACATTGATGGACGTATCTCGAACCTCCACATTGAGGGACACATTTCTGGCATCACCGTGCCCATTTTCTTTCTCGGTAATTTTGGGGCGAGGCATTTTCTTCTTTGTGGGTCGACCCTTTTTTCTGGTTGTTCTCTCAGGCGATTTTTGACTGCTGCTTGTCACTGTCGCTATTTGGGCTCCTTTTTCAAACGAGACGGTAACGTCTACGTCAGTTTCCACGTCTAAATATTTTTGACAAAGCGATTCGATCTTTTTCAATCCCATCAATTTTGCACAATTGCGCACTTCTAGTAATACGTCAGGGTCATTTTTGACGACCAAGCTTCCGGTGTACAGATAAGTTATGATCGGTCGGATACCACAATCGATGACGTCATGACTGCCGAGGTTTAATTCTTTGGACGCAGCATCAAAACAATCAACTGCAATAGACTCCGTCAGATTTCCGCAGAACCCGTACAAAACGCATGCATGTACGTCCAAGGAACCGCCCGTATACTTTACACGCACGTCACAAAATTGACCATTCTGCCATTGGGTTGAAAGGATTTTTTGTAAATTTGTTCCGTGGTTATCAGCATCGTCATCTATATCTATCCTTAACAAATCGTCAGAATTTATTTCATTTTGGTTCATATTCGTGAAGCCTGAAAAATAAATTGCAGAGGTATAAAGCAATGGCGGCTGTAGAACATTGGATTGCAAGGGCTCCACCAAATATTTTTAGAATCAGTAGCCTACTGGGGAAGGGGTCAGGGGGTTGAAATGCTTTTTGAAAATAAAGGGGATACCTATGCAGATTTGACTCAGGACGACACTTCCAGCATTACATAGCATAGCATAAACATGCCAAAACGTGGACAAGATGTGTCTCAATTGTGAGTAAATTGTTGTGGTCTAAACATTTTCAGCAAATTATCTCCCCTTCCAATAAGCAGACATGAACACTTTTAACGCTTTATCCCGCAATTTGGCTCATTACTGTCCGGGACCTTGAAGGAATTGGTACTTTGACTTAAGTGTCCCAGATGCCAAGAAAATGCTCAAGAAATAAGAAGGCTACCTACCTAGCTCACGAAAACTTGTAATCTGACTATTTTTATAGTACGCTGAAAATGGCGGATGAAGGGTTTATTTTCTGTTCCAAACGATAGTTGTGTCCCTTGTGTCGTCTGCAACCATGAGATCAGTGTCTGCAACATCCTGGATAACATTTGATATTACATTTTTGGATCTAACATTATGGTATCCACCATATCGTACTTGTATAAATGCCTATAGATTTCTGTTCTTTCGGGAGAAGGGGGTATTTTTATTTAAAGTGGAGGAATGAAGTTTCTTAAATTCTTTGGACCATGAAGGTAATCTATCCCTAAAATACAAGAAATACCCGGCTACGTTGGTAAAGAAACCTCTTTTAGCCTACCCCGTTACAATTTAAAAATACATGTATATGAATGGCTATATAGGCCTATGCAGCCCCCTCTCCCACCTTTCTCATCCCACTCCAGATGTGGGATTCGGACCAGTAGGGACTGGCCTAGCCCTATACATATACACTGTATTCCAAAATGAAATTTCATTTTCATCTATCAACGCGTGTCGCTTTAATTTTCAATATTTTCATAAAAAAAAGTTCAAATATTTTGTCTGGCTAAGCATATTTATAAATTTATATAATAATATCGAATTTTATGGCATAACGTCCAATTTGAACTGTCAATATCGACCGCGCGACGATTTTCTTTCCAGCTCGTGTTTCTAGGGGATGCGCGGTATTTGTTGAAAAATATTTGGAAATAAACACGAGAGTTACCTAGGAGAAGATAGGTATCTCCGTGCTTTAACAATGAAATTGGAGAATACCAAATTGGAATCTTTGTCTGCGATTCTTCATTCAAGTGGAGCTTAGCCTTTGTTGAGTTTATGTTTTATGTTCTGTTAAAGTGTCAGACCAAACTGTTAATTTTTGATGGCTTGAAATGAATCGATTAGAAAACCTTTAATAAGTTATTTCTTTCCCTTTTATCTTTTTATCTTTCCATCAAACAAGCTTTTCATTCACTATAAAAATAGCTTAAGTCAGGATGACTTTGATAAAACCATAGATCAAAGATTAGTCTGGCATGTCCGGCCCTACCCGTGTCGCCGACGTGATATACGGATGGATATCGACCAGCGGCTCAACTACCATACGGACCGGTTGTAAACTGATTGAGATCATATTTAAAAAAAAATTCCCGGGATAGGAGCCCCGATCCACTTAAGTCCACGGTTCTTATTGTTCCCTGATATCGGTACCTATCCGTATATTAAGTCCGAGGATTCGAGGAACGGAATTTTTTAATTCAAATAATAGGCCTAACGTTCAATGTACGTTTGACTTCAAGGGAAGTAATTCTCTGCAATTTTGTTGACCACTGAGGCCATAGTCTTGACGAGTTGGCGTTAACAATTTGCTGAGGGATTTGAAAGTACTGTGATTCGGAGCATTACACGGAGATACATTAAATATCACCCAATGAAAGTGAACATCACATAGACCCGTTCACCAAACTCAGATACCAACAGCAACTTCTCTTCATAACTGCCTCTCCATCATCCCCTCCCCTTCCCCTGTCTTCCTGATCATTCTCTCTCTGAAATTCTCTCGTACGCTCCCCTTCACCTTCCTTGGCTTACACATCTTTCTGCTTTCATCTTACCCTCCTTTTCTCCTCTCTTTCCCCCTACCTTCGATACTCCGTCCCTGTACGTCCCAAATAATTTTGTTTCAATCTAAATTGAACTATGAAGTATTGTCTGGGCGATAGTCTTGAACAATGTTCGTGTATTCACCTTTACACACAGAATCTAAAAATAGCACTATGCAATATTTGTTGTGGAGACGCTTAGAAAACATCATAAATTGGAGAAAAAAAAAATACAATATTGATGGCAACATCACGAATTAGAAAAAATAAAAAATGATGACAACTATTTATAATGTTGCTCTAGCAATAATACACTTGCCGGATGCTTGTCTTTTTATGTAGAGTTATTTTTATAGTCGTAAATAAAACTTGATTCTGTATTTGAATATTTGAGTATTTGAATTTCGAATCATATCGATAGTTGGTGAAAAGTATATGTCATAATCTGTGATAGAAGATATCTTCACAATGCCAAGCCGTTTGCAACCTGAGCCAAATCATTTGCCGCCTTTCTGTCGTGGGCGCTGATTGGCTGTATTCGCTAGCGTACTATCACACTTCCGTGATACAAGAAAGATAACTATTGCAGTCAAAGTATAAGGTATTATTATAAGTATAAGTATTACGTATTACTGTGTCGAATACCTTGACTGGAACAATCACCTTTCTGGTATTACGGATCAATCAGTACTCGACAGAAAGACTGTAGGCCTAAACAATTTGGTTGCGCGGTTAATGGTTAATCGAATATGTTTCGTTTTTGTGTTTTAATTCCAAGGGTTTGAGATTTAAATTGCGGAATTTGCCTATAACATGAAACAAAATACATGTAGTAGGGCCTACTTTTAATTCAATTTACCAGCAATACATTAAAGACTCTCCAGGTAATGCCTTAAAAATATTGGAAAGAGAAATCATCCTGATTGGTTGGTTGATGAATGGCAAGTTAAAGCTCGTTTCCAGGAATTATCCTGCAGGCAAACGAGTTTTGAATTCCATGAAAGTGAATCACCTACTGCTATATAGCACCATTATTGCCGAGAAGTCTTTCAAATTACAACGTCTAGACGAATCCCTGGAAATTTCTAATGAGACAAATCCGAGAATCCCCAATAAAAACCCTGTATAAATAATTTACCACGATTTCCATTAGTTTTATAGAGGTATAAAAACTGCAGAACAATATACCATCTCCGGTGCTGAAATATAACTCCATTAGTCCGATACAGTCTAGTAGTGGTGAGACGAGCCGTTAGCAGATTAAAACCACAAGTTTTGCAGGCCCGTTGGCGACAAATCTGACTCTACCCGTTCTTCGGATGTGATATATGAATTTAATTGACTTTTAACATATTCAAAAGGTATCTTATTTCAGGTTTAAAGACTTTCAGACACCGACAGAGATTAGAAACAACGACCACTGTTAGACGTTACCAAGATATTGACGTCAAATTCTAACTCTTTAAGCGGCAGGTCTACAACCAGTCTTCAAAAAAGGCTGTTTCGGATATAGGAACAATCGTGCATATTCTAACACTAGTCCTACTGAGCTATAGTTGGTCTTCATACAAAGACCGTTTCGGATATTGGAATAATCATCCAAATTCTAACACATTCTAACGACTGTGCTACAACCGGACACAAACAGAGATCGTTTCGGACAGCACTATCAATGATTGGGTTTCAGACGCGTGCAATAAAATGTAATAACTGTAGATGGCTATCAGTCCATTTCTCACAATGGTCTCTCTGTATTGTAATAAATTGATGAATAGAACAACCAATCGAACAAATCATTAATCGATTTCATTTAAGTGCGTTTTTAATCTCTATTACATTATGCAATATTCATTTATAGATTTATAATTAATACACTGTCTCAATTACCATAATGACTGGTTGAACCAAGTCCACGGGCCCCCACCGCTAAGGGGTCCTCCCATAAAAAAAAAAAAAGAAAAAAAAAAAAGGCCAAAGTATAGAATTATTACTATTATTATTATTATTATTATTACGTAACCAGCAATATATAAATGAGTGAAATAGCATTAACTACAGACTGAAAATATTCAAATCTTCCATTAACAGATATTAAATTGAAGAATGCAGTAGAGCTTAATATGTCAAAAAACCCACAAAACTCCAGGAGAATACAAAGTCATATTGTTTACAGTCTTT